GGAAAGAGAGTGGCTGAGAAGATTATAAAGCTCGATCCCGAGAATTCGGTTGCTTATATACAACTATCTGCCATTTTCGCGAGCTCGGGAGATTGGGAAAGGTCGGAATTTGTGAGGAACTTGATGAAGGAGAAGCATGTGAGGAAGAATTCAGGTAGCAGTTGGGGCTGATGGTTGAATACTCTGCTCGAACGTGAGTAAATAGATATCTGATTAAGCCCGAGGTTAAGCCAGAAGAGAAGATAAAAGGGAAATGAAGAAAGTAGGACAGATGAATCTCGAAATTCGGGTACCCGAACCCATGGGACGGATACCCGAACCCATGGGACGGGTGAATCTCGAAATTCGGGTATCCGAACCCATGGGTCGGGTACCTGAACTCGGTTTATGGCGCGAAGGAAACTCGAAAATCGGGTTCGGGTAATCATATTGTTTGTGGGTATGAATTGTAAAATGGCTTTCTTGTGTATTATATAGAAATCTACTGGAATTTCGGGTCCAGGTTTCAGAGAATCCGAAAATTTTGAATACTTGTCTTGAGTCAACTTCTAATACATAATATGATATATTTATTTCGAAATTTTTTGAAATTTTATATTTTAATTTTGGATGTGTGTTATTGGAAAATTATTTCGAATATCTGATTTTTGGAAATCTGACAAAGACGAGTTTGAGATCGGATAATATCTTATAAATCGAGATAAAAATTTTGAATATATATATATAATATAAGTCATAAGATATTATTGTCTTCTCTTATCTACGGATTTGATGAAACGATTTTGACCGAAACTTTTATAAAGAGTTAAAAAAAGTAGGGGTGGGCACTTCGGTTTGGAAATTTAGTATCGATCAGATCTGTCTCGAAACCGAACCGAACCGAACCGAATAACGTTTGGTTTAATTTGGTACACTTTTAATGGAACCGAATGAACCGTTCCCGAACCGAACCGTATGAATACCGAATCGAACCGTATGAATTCCGAACTAAAAAACGAATATTCCACTAATATATGTGTAAATATTATAGTTTGGTACTTATTTGGTATTCATATAATGGTATCGTTCCGAACCGAACCGATACTAAAACCGAACCGAACCGAACCGTTTAACATTCGGTTCTAGTTTGGTACACTTTTTGTAAAACCGAAAATACCGTTCCCGAACCGAACCGCTTGAATACCGAATCGAAATCCGAAACGCCCACCCCTAAAAAAAAAGACTTTGAACACTGAAATAATATATTTCAGTTTTTGTATAACTAATATTTTTTTAATACTACCAAATTATATTTATTTTTTTAACAATGAAAACCCGCAACACCTCACACCTCACAGGGCCAGACGAATGATACGGTATCGCAGATGGTAAACCCAACGGTCCAATGCAACAGCTAGCAAGCCACGTCGAACAGGTAAACCAAGCGAAACTGACCGGATCAGAGGAAGTTTGACACCAAAAAGAGGAATCGAACCATGAGGTCATGTAAAACCATAAAATCAACTAAATAGCTAAAACAATAAAACCCCATTTATGATTTATCATCGCCAATAACAAAGAGAAAATTTCAAAAAAAATATATAAAATTTTCAATTTTTACAAAACAAAAACTAAAGTTTATTTTTTATCAAATAAAATTCTTAACTTTATTTTTTAATTAAAAATAAATCTGAATTTTATAATGGTTATCACTTTTAAACCTCAATTCTATATAACGTATCAATATTTTATATGGCAAGTCAATGCCATATTTAACACGTCATTATTCAAATATCACGATATCTATACGTCATGTTAGCGATGAATTTAAAAATGATAACTGTTATAAAATTTAGATTTATTATCGATTGAAATATAAAATCGAGGTTTTATTTGATAAAAAATAAAGTTTGAGTTTGATTTTATAAAAATTGAGAAACTCATGTATTTTATTTAGCGTTTTCCCTAACAATAAAAGTAGAGTTGGATGATTTTTGTAAACTAGTACCTTTCAAGTAATTTCTACAAAAAAAAAAACACATCTACTTTTTTATTTTGTTAAAAAGTGTACACTAAAATAGAGCATATCGTATATATTAAAATATAGTATTTTAAATAGTAATATAGGTTTCACACTAATTTGCCAAGTTCAATTTATTGAGTGACGTGTCAATATGAAATGCCTAAATGCAGAGACGGACGCATGGACCGACCGTACTGTCAAATTCAAGAAATACCGAAATGACACGTAACGTCTTTCCACTTTATAACGATGAAACCATATATGGAAACCCCACCGGTATGGTTGGTGGATATCATTGAAGTCTTTATTGTTAAAAATAATAATAATAATAATAATAATAATTTGTTTAATTTAATTTAGGAAAACCCGTATTATTTCTCATCTTTTAGACTTAATATAGGTAATTCAATGTAAAATATTAACACCCTTTTGATACAATCCATGTTTATGCATGCCCAATTCTTACTAGTAGAATTAGTTTATATAAATAATCTTTATCTAGAAGAGCATTTCAAGCAAGGAATGTAATAATATGTTTTATTTATTTATTTCCTTATTTAGTGGATAACTAATTATGTTATTAAAATTGGCACGAGAGAGTTCTTTTATTTATTTATTTATTTATTTTATCTATTTTGTGTTGACAACTAATTATCTTGTCAACAAAACAGTCAAGAGATAAATTTCAATCTAAAAAAAATTGTGTAGAAAGGAGATAGGTCATAATTTCTGTGTATATTTAAAAAAATAAAAAATACCATTTTACAACAATTAACTAAGTTATCGAAAAAGTTATCAAGAAAAAGAAGAAATAGGCATAATTATGGATTTAGAAAACCCTAAAAAAGGAAAATAAATAAATAGATGGGAAATTGGAGATAAATTAGATAGATAGATAGATACAGATGACATGTCACGTCCAACGAGGAGACTCATACACTTGTCCTTCTTCTTTTCTTCATCTCCTTCATTAGCTCCTTAATCGCACAAACGCCAATTTCTTCGCTTTTAATCTCTTCTTCTTCTTCTTCTTCTCTGTTTCTGCAAGTTTCCATGGCGATTTGGCTTTCGAGATCCAAAAACCTTGTCTTTGGCCTCAGACAGCATCTGGGTTTGTCGGGGATTCGCCGTCACGTCTCCTCACGCTCTGCTTTAACGGCTCCGTTATCTTCCACGGCGGTTCTTCGACGGCCACCACCGCCTATTCTCGCCGGATTCCGTCGCGAGTCGACGGCGGCGGAGAAGCAACGTGATTTGGTTAATCAAAGTGATGAAGAAGACGTTCAGGTACGTACCCTTTTCTTTTTGTCATATTAATCACATCGTAAACTTTGGATTAACGCTAATCTCGTTTTGAGTTTCGATTTCGCCGCCCCCCACCGCCTATTCTCGCCGGATTCCGTCGCGAGTCGACGGCGGCGGAGAAGCAACGTGATTTGGTTAATCAAAGTGATGAAGAAGACGTTCAGGTACGTACCCTTTTCTTTTTGTCATATTAATCACATCGTAAACTTTGGATTAACGCTAATCTCGTTTTGAGTTTCGATTTCGTACAAGTTTTCTTGATCAAGAACGTATTATACACAAAGCAATTAACGTTAATAAACCAATCTCTGATTATTTTTTTTTTCCATTGCCCAGTTTCTGGGGGAAAAAGCGCACACTTTTAGCGGTGATATATGTGTCTAAATCAAGTGATTAACACTTTATTTAACAATGATAGTTGTAATGAACCAAAAATAATTTTATTGGTTCAATTTTCATGTTTAGGAGGATACGAAATAATTGAAAACTGAGGGTCACACGTGAGAGGTGGGGTCCACATTTAAACACGTATTTCATACTATAAAAGACAACCCGCTTATTTCGACGTGACGACGTCGACGTAATTGGAATCTCTTTCTAGTTTCCCGACGACCGGAGCTGGAAGCGTTTTGTCCCAACCGTACGGACACGGACACGCTGTGTCTCCATTACAAAAGTCTTGTGTTCCTCGATTAGGGTTTTCATTTGTATTAGAAATCTTCAAAAACTAAACCAAAAGAAATGGAAAATGGTTGCATGACTTTATCGACGAACATGAAAAGGTATTTGAAAGAAAAGAGATAATGTTATTAGGGAGAGAGGTATCTTTTTATTTCATGGGGATACCTTTTTAAATACAAAACAAAAGCAACGTGGGAAGAGAATGTGGGCAAATTACATGGGATATGCCTAAAGACTAGCACCCACCTTTTGAAAATTTCAAAATAAATAAAATAATGCAATAAAACAAGATTATTACTAACAATTTGGATGGGGATTTTTGCAGGAACTGGATTTTCCGGGAGGTAAGGTTTCTTACACCTGCGAACTGAAATTCATGCCCGAATGCGCTTCCAGAAGAGTTCCGTGCTATCGGGTTCTCGACGAAGGCGGAAACGTCATCCCACTCAGCGATTTCAGTCCCGTAAGTGAGGAACTGGCGGTGAAGATGTACGGAAAGATGGCGACGTTGCAGATGATGGATAACGTTTTCTACGAAGCTCAACGACAAGGACGAATCTCCTTTTACCTCACTTCTGTCGGAGAGGAAGCCATTAACATCGCCTCGGCCGCCGCCCTCTCCCCAGACGACGTCGTTTTGCCTCAGGTACTCTTCTCTTACCCCGTGTCATATATAGCCGAGCTTGGATGGGCCGATCCGAACTCGCAAATTCAACTCGGTTCCGGTTCGGTTTCGGTTTCCATTTTTATTGATAAAGAAATTTTCAATCTTTTTTTAATAATTGGTTCGGGTTCCAATTTTTCGCTTTGAAAAAAAATCATACGCGTATAAATTTTTATACCGGATTCGATTTGAGTAGTACTGTGACGTTATTTGCGGTTAGCATAACCGAACTGAAATAACCACTCATAACCGATACCGAATCCTTGCCCACTGCTACATTCGATGGCTTCCTCTCCCCCAATCGGATTTATGAATCGGAGGAATTTCGCAGTACCGAGAGCCAGGGATTCTTCTATGGCGTGGGTTCACGTTGCAAGAATTCGCCAACCAGTGTTTCGGCAACAGGGGTGATTACGGCAAAGGCAGGCAAATGCCGATCCATTACGGCTCCAATCGCCACAATTACTTCACCGTCTCCTCTCCGATCGCGTAAGATCATCTTTCCCTCTCTAACAATTCCATCGATTTTCGCGATTATTTTCTGTTCCACCCATTTGAGCAAATCGTTTCGAATTCCCCATCAGAACGCAGCTCCCTCAAGCCGCAGGCGTTGGATACGCTCTGAAAATGGAGAAGAAGAACGCTTGCGCAGTCACATTCGTCGGCGATGGCGGAACAAGCGAGGTGATTTGATTTGATCAAAACCCTAGAAATCTCGATTCTCGCTCTCCTGTTGATTGAACAGATTCAGAACAAAAAGGGTCAAATCTGCTGTTTCTGGGTTTTTTGATTTCTCCGCAGGGAGATTTCCATGCCGGGCTGAATTTCGCGGCGGTCATGGAAGCTCCGGTCGTGTTCATCTGTCGGAACAATGGCTACGCCATCAGTACGCATATCTCAGAACAGTTTCGAAGTATGAAATTTTCTCTGCTACAGAACGAACATGTATATATGTATGTATGCATGGTGTAATCCATGGTAGACATCAATGCTTATACGGTAGTGTCATTGTATAGGCGATGGAATTGTAGTGAAAGGCCAAGCGTACGGAATCCGAAGCATTCGGGTTGACGGGAACGACACTCTAGCCGTTTACAGCGCGGTCCGTTTGGCTCGGGAGATGGCTGTAACAGAGCAGAGACCGGTCCTGATCGAGGTGAGAGACCGTAATATAGATGAAATGCGTGATATCAAAATGATCAAAACGTGAAATAATACCGGCTGGAATCGTATATTTTCCCTTTCTCCAGGCCTTGACGTATAGGGTAGGTCACCATTCTACGTCGGACGATTCCACCAAATACAGACCGGCTGACGAGATTCAGTACTGGAAAACGACGAGGAACCCCGTGAACAGGTTCAGGAAATGGGTCGAGAGGAACGGGTGGTGGAGCCAGGAGGAAGAAGACGAGCTCCGTGGTAATGTCAGAAAACAGGTATAAGATCAGATCTATCTAGTTCTGTATATAGCTCTCAGAAAAAACCCTAGCTTCCATTGATGTTCTGAACCATTGTTGTGGCTATGGTGGCAGCTTCTGGAAGCGATTCAGGTGGCGGAGAAATCGGGGAAACAGCCATTGAAGGAGCTGTTTAACGATGTGTACGATGTTCCGACAGAGAATCTGGCTGAGCAGGAAGTGGGCTTGAGGGAATTGGTCGGGAAATATCCTCAAGATTATCCTATCGGCTTTCACGCATCAGATTCTTAACCATTTTCCACTAAATGTATTACTAGAAATAAAATCTATCGCCAATTATCATAAGATACTTCTAACTCTAAGTATAATTAACATTGTAGATTCATAAGATACTCATAAATTGCTCAAATTATGCAGATTTATATACAGTTTTTTAATGATCTCATCCACCTATCCAAGAAATCGAATAGTCTGCTAACATGAATCTATCGACGTGATAGTATTTGACTATTAATTTTAATATATTTAAAATAATAAGTCTGTCTGTTTTAAGGGATGGACATTCCACTGTTTAATCGGGATACGGGTCGAGAATGGTTCGGTTTATTTCTTTTCATTTTATAAAAATAGATACTATTATATTATATTCGGTTTGGTTCTGGTTTAGTTCAATATCGATTTTCATTAAAAAAAATTAAATATTATTTTTTTCCTTTTTTGGATTTTTTTAAAATTTCGATTCGATTCGATTGCGAAAAAATTGATTTTTTTAAAATTAATTTTGTTCGTAAATCTTTGACAATTTAGATAAAAAAAATAACGTATTTTTCGGTTTGGTATGATTCGGTTCTATGGAACCGAATCGAAAGGCTCACCCATATATATAATTTATACATTATAATCGAAATGGAATTAGCTAAAAAGTCTAATAACATCAAATTAGGAATCTTTTGGAAAGGAGATGGAGCCATAAAACACAACTTTGTTGTCCCAAATTGTGAGGAGGAGAGACCTCTGACATCATTAGCCATGCAACGTGGCCAAGAACAAAGTTGAGATTTTATCAATTTCTACATGTTAATTTTTTAAAAGTAAAACACTTTATACAAGATTCGAGATTTATCTTTAATATCACCATTCAATTTGCTAAGAATATTAATAATAATATAATAATAATATTAATTTTGATATTAGTAAAAACTGTGCTTTTTTTCAATTACATTTTTTTTTTCATACCTACAATGATCATGATGATGACGAAAATAAGTTTACACTATAATTAGTAATATTAAATTTAATATTGGATAATGATGTATCACAAAGGGTGAAACAATGTGTGGAGGATATACATCCAACCATTAAAGCAAAGATTCCGAATCTTCTTCTTCTTTTCTTCCTTGCAACTTGGCTTATTTTGCTTATTTCTCCCTTTCCACCTACTTTTTTTCTTTCATAAAAAAGTATTTTTGACGTATAAAATAATTACAAAAGATGACATGTTCAAATTATTATTTTATATAAAATGAATCTATAACGAGCGAATAATGAAACCGAATAATATAATCTATTGGTCCCGATATTTTTTTTTGGTAATGGGTAACCTAAAACGGATTCTGTTACCAATATATATATATATATATATTTAATAATTCATAAATTTACCGTATCTTTGGTCTGAATCATATTTTTCAGATATCCATATATTTTTTAATAGATGTTAATTAATTTCAAGATATATATATATATATGTAAATTTAGGAGAAGAATTTGATGCTGATTCTTTGACAAAACATAAAGGCAAAGCTTTTTTTATATTAAAACCTGCGAGCTTTCGAAAGAGAAATAAAAGAAGAAAAAGATTAAAATCGAACATATACACATACATGTATGTATAGTAATTATAATTATAGCAACATGAAATATATGGAATTTGATGCCATTTTGTTGAGTCCATTAATTAAACATATGACTGATGTTTCGAATCCTTTTCATTAGCAACTTTTTCTCAATTAACTACTTAATTAGTCTCATTATAGATTAAAGCCGCAGCTTTCTTTAAAAAAAAAATTAACGTTGTATTTCGCAAGAGTGTGATTAAATGATGTTCTTGTAAATTTAGATCAGATTTTGAAGGGATTAAGATTTTTATTAGTTAATTTTCTTAAAGATTTTTTTTTTGGTGAGCTTAACCTTTTTTTTTGCTTATTTTCCTTTTCGTCTACATGAACTTAATTAGTAAATAAAGCATGCAACTACAATCATTTTTTTCGTGTGAGTTTTGATAAATCGTGTGCAACTACAATTATTTCTAAATTTATAACAATTAATTTTTTTATAGGTTCGGAACATGATTATTCATCAATTAGTATGAAAGAATCAGCTTTTGTGAAACCAAATTTACGTTCCAAGTATTTTTTTTGATAATCTATAAGTTTATATCGGACTTTCGACCTAACTACATCTCCTATATGATCGAGAAAATCCAGGTGAATGTTTCTCCTAAATGGAGACTCGAACTTTGCTCTATTTTTTTATTAGTTGAACCATCCAATTTTAGATAATTTATATCCAAATTGATGACGTGAAAAATAAAATAAATTGATACAAATCATAAAAACTGCGGGTTTAATTAGATATGATGGATAAAATACAATGAACGTAAATTCTTTAGATTAAATTTTTGGTGTTTTCAGAGATTTATAAGCTCATTAGGATATTATGTATTCAGATAAGAGAAAAATTGGTAAAAATTTGGAAAAATATGGGGACCAATAAAATATATATAAAAAATAAAGAAAAATAAAAATAGATAAAAATAAGCTAATATTATAAACTCATAATCCGTCACAATATCACACTCCTATGGCCCAACATAGATAAAGATAAACTAATATTACAAACTCATAATCGGTCACAAACTCACGCTTCTATTGCGTTGGGCCGTTAGATTTATCGTCCATTATATCGTATCGTTCGTCCGGCCCTATAGACTGTGAGGTATTGCGGAGTCCGGTTCGAAAAGTCGAGGCTGGTTCCATCGTTATAAAAAAAACTCACACTCCTATATATATATATATATATAAAGTAATATTTTCTCGGCCTATTTATTTGGAATATAATATTAGGTTCTTTTTTTTTAATTGGAAGATTTGGAGGGTATGAAAATGGACGCTGCCTTTAGTAAAGGGTGATTTTCGTATTTTTAGGAAGATGAGGGCTAGTTTTATAAATTAAGAAAATTACTCATGTGCTGGATTGTCGACACTGAACAGTACAGAAGTGCAGCAAAGACAAAAGCAACCGCCTGTAATACTTCCAAGGGACCCCTAAACCCCTTATTTCCACGCGCCTACTCTCGCGAGTATGCTTCACGCGCTATTGTCTATACTTGTTTTTGTTAAACATTTTTTAAAATTCATATTTACGTATACAATGAAATTTATTCTAATTTTCAGCTAAATTGATATACAAGAAATATAAAATATATGTCATTTAATGCAAAATAAAAAACTATATGGTACTTCAAAAAAAACTAAAATTCCAAATTACAAAATCTAAAATAGCAAATTTGTGATAAAAGTAAACGTTTACGCTTCAACTATTTTTTCGTTATATTTAAATATCCATTTTTTTAAAAATATCTTTTTTAATAGTATTGTGTTTTTCGAATTATATTCATATTTTGCCAATCTCTAATAAGAATGATACATACATTATTATATCAATAAAATAACATGAAATAATAGCATAATACCATATAAAAATGAATGATGAGATTTAGCACGTAACTTTTAATTGGGACATATATTTTAATATTTTTTAAAATATTTTTGTATCTTTGTGATATAAAATTAATTTCATCGATGATTTGTTTTTTATTGAAAATTTAGTGAAAAAAGTTAAATATTAAAAGATAATTTTAAAAAGTTGAGACATGATTTTTTCTCTTAAAATTTTAAGCATTCATATGTGTAAAGAAAAATAAGTTGTACATCACACTTTAATTTCCTTATTTAACACTTAAGATTTTTTTTTTTGTTTACAAAGAGGTCAAAGATTTATAAAAACAATGAAATTTGCCGGAATGCCGGAAAATGAAATTATTTTTAATCATTAAAAAGGTTAAAGTACATACCAATATTACCACGTGGTCAAAATCCCAAATGTCAATTAATATACTACTATAAAGTTGCAACACATCAATGAGAGAGCGTGTGGAACACGCGTGGAGACAAGAGCGTGGGATGAAAATCGAACGAATACCAAGCAAATTCGAAGTGGGATTGGATATTCGCCGCGTCATTATCTGACTAATACCCCATTAACTAAATAATTACAATTAAAAGTCGTAATTTGTCAAGATTAATTAAGCCATGTTGATGTCCGTACTGCTTCACCCCTTTTCTCTCCCCTATTAAAGAAGCGGAAATAGAGTCTGCGCTTCAGACAGAAACATTAGAGAGAGAAAGAGAGAGAGACAGCTTTTTCTGGGCATTTGCTCTGTCTTTGTCTTTCTTCTGTTTCGAAGATGTAAAAATTTCTCTTTTTTTTTTGTTCCATCTGTTTTCCGAGTCCAGGGTTTGAGCTTTAAGATTGTTTCTTCGTTTTCATCTCTCTCTCTCTCTCTCTCTCTCTCTCTGGTCTCTAATTGCCTCCATTATCTCAAACCCATGCCCCAATTTTTAGTTTAGTTCTTGCAATCGGTTCGAACCCCTCTTCTCCTCCTCGAAATTCTGCAACTTGGGTAAGGATTCTGCAACTCTGTTTCTCGGTCGGTTGAGGGTTCAATCTGGTGCAGCTGTTCTTCGAAATCTGGTCTTCGTTTTTATTATGATTTATAAGATGGAGAATAACGAATCGGAGAGCATATGGTTGTGGGTAGAACTGGGGGATGAGAAAACGGGAAACACATACAAGGAGTAACAGAAAGTGACTGTCTCAATTTTTGGTATATTCGGCGGTTGTGACTTGACTTGGAAATGGACGGCCGATGATTTTTTTGACATTTTTTTTATTACAGTGTATAGATACATGTCTGATGATGATTTTGCATATGGATTCGACCAAGATTTGATTCCCATGTATGGTTTTAAATTTTGACGTTGACACGCTCTGTTTTGATTTCTGTCCATTTGCTCTCTCTCTCCCTCTCAGTTATCTTCTTTCAGAGTTCTTGGGTCTCTGTGATAAATCTTTTTTTTTTTTTTGTGGAGATCCACGATTAGATCCTAAAGACTTGTTTTCTAAATCTTGAATTGGGTTTGACCCATCAATCTTTTTATGAACAATTTGATGCCCAAACACTTGAAGTAGAGTCTCTGTAAGCTGCAGGAAAAAAAAAGTTGTCTTTGTATTTGTAGCACAAAGTTATGAACAGAAACGGGTGTGTGTGTCTTGACGAATACGTTAGGTTTGTCAAAGAATTAGGACACAAGAATTTATGGTTTTGATGTCATAGAGAGAGAGAGAATATGAAGAATTTGTTGTTAAGGACCAGAAGATAAGGAACAGAGAGATTCCTACATTTCTTGATTCTCTTCTTTCAATCTTCTTGTTTGTGGGTTCTGTTCATTACATACATCTGAACTTGTCATCTTTTCTCGAGTTTCTGTAGATTCTCCACTTTCTTCAAGCTGTCGAGAAACTGAAGGTTCTCGTTTCTTGTCTCTTGTTTGATTGTTTCCTGTTAATGTCTGATTGAGATACAGTAGCCTCTCCTTGAGTCAGAGGGTCTTTGCTGTTAGATGGCTAAAGTTTGCTGGCCTTATTTCGATCCTGAATACGAGAACTTGAGCTCAAGAATCAATCCCCCGAGGTAATGTTTTTTCTCAGGTCGAAGATTTTCGTGAATCCGTTTTTTTGTTTACGTTTTGATCGATGATTCTCGGTTCTTGCAGGGTTTCGGTGGACAACACTAGCTGCGAAGACTGTACTCTCGTGAAGGTATGAACGATTCGATAAGAACGTGCTCGATACGGGATTTATCGTCTTATCGGAGTGATGAACTGACGAAATACTCGATCTTTATAAACAGGTTGACAGCATGAACAAACCCGGAATCCTCCTGGAAGTTGTTCAAGTCTTGACAGATCTTGATCTAACCATTACCAAAGCTTACATCTCTTCTGACGGCGGATGGTTCATGGACGGTAATAACACACACATCTTGTCCGCACCTAATTCTTCCGATGCGATCCCCTGTTAAAATTTATGGGTTTTGTGCGTTTTCGGGGTTTTACAGTATTCCATGTCCTCGATCATCAAGGAAACAAGATTACAGACAGCAAAACCATTGAATACATTGAAAAGGTACGATAAAAATCCCGGGTATTGGGCTCTGCCTTCCTCTCTTTTCGAGCTTTTGTAACTTTCGGCTTAAAAACAGTAAGTCTCTCATCAAACAAAGTGAGCGTTTTAAAAGGTGTCGTCGGCAATATCAGTGACAGATATTTGTGGAAAACAGGTTAACGGTAAAGTTTAGGAGTGAAGGAAGGAAGACAAAAACTCCATCAAATCTTTACTTCTTTGTTGTATGTAAAGAAGATCTTCGAGTTTCCGGCATTTCTACTATTGAGTTCTCTAACCCCTTATCCCCCGAAACGTCTTAATCCTCATTGCTTCTTGTTTTAGAATGTTTGATTCATAGATATGGATTAGGGTTTAGTTACGGGTTACTAGGATTGGAGAAAAAAACCAAACTTGGAATACTCGACCTGATATCCCCGGGTCGAGTACCCAAATTTCGGGTTCTGGAACAATGTATGAGTTGAGTTGGGTTATAGCACGAGGAAAATCCGAAAATCGGGTTCAATTTTGGGTTGTGGGTTCGAGATCATATTATCAGCGGATGCCCGAATGGACAGTATAATGATATTGTTGTTTCTATGTTTTAGAGATATTACAGATAAACCTATAGAAATCTCTTGAACTTTTGGGTTTAAGTTCGGGTAAATCGAAAATTTCATTACATGTCCCGATTCAACTTTTAATACGTGATATTTGTTTTGAAAAACTCGAGATATGTATATAAACTCGGGTTTAGATATCCATGATGTTACCCGGACATTATCTCGAATGTCCGACTTTCGAGAACCCGACCCATGCTTACCCTACGGGTTAGGTTTCGTAAACTTGATTACAGTATTTGCTTCATGTGTTTGTGTATTTATTTTGTTTCTAAAGGTGTTAGGACCGAAGAGCCAAGCTTCAGCCGCGCTAAACACATGGCCGAGCAAACGGGTCGGAGTCCATTCTTTAGGCGACCACACGGCCATCGAGCTCATTGGCCGTGACCGTCCTGGCCTGTTATCCGAGATCTCTGCTGTCCTTGCTGATCTTCGGTTCAATGTCTTGGCAGCGGAAGTATGGACTCATAACCGTCGGATAGCTTGTGTCCTCTACGTGAATGATGATTCCACATCCCGAGCCGTCGATGATCCTTCGAGATTGTCAGCAATGGAAGAACAACTCAACAACGTGCTGAGAGGATGCGAAGAAGAGGACGAGAAAGTGGCTCGCGCGAGTTTCTCGGTCGGTTCCACACATGTAGACCGAAGGCTCCACCAAATGCTTTTCGCCGATAAAGACTACGAAGGCAACAAACTTGTAGATTCTTCTTCTCAAGGGTTCAAACCCGAGATCAAAGTCGAACGTTGCGAAGAAAAGGATTATTCCGTGATTAATGTGAGTTGTAAGGATCGGGCGAAACTCATGTTCGACATCGTCTGCACGCTGACAGACATGCAATACGTCGTTTTCCATGCCAACATTTCGTCCGATGGTCCATGCGCATCTCAGGTACATAAGTTTATATGCTCTACTTTCTCAAACCCTAATGCAGATATAGTCCTGTAACCGAGCTCGTTGCGTAAATTGCGTAGGAGTATTACATCCGACATAAGGATGGTTGCACGCTCCACTCAGAGGCCGAGAAAGAGAGGGTGATCAAATGTCTCGAAGCCGCTATCCACAGAAGAGTGAGCGAGGTAAGTTTACAAAGATTTCTTGTGGTACAAGTAATTACTTTCTTGCGGTGCAAGTAATTACTTTCTTGCGGTACAAGTAACGTCGAGAATCGTTCGAATCTAGGGTTTGAGCTTGGAACTATGCGCTAAGGACAGAATGGGACTACTGTCTGAAGTGACGAGGATACTGCGGGAGCACGGACTATCAGTAATGAGAGCCGGTGTAACGACGGTCGGAGAACAGGCCGTGAACGTTTTTTACGTGAGGGATGCTTCGGGAAACCCGGTGGATGTGAAAACGATCGAGGCGCTGCGACAAGAGATCGGGCATACGATGATGATTAACGTGAAGAACAAGGTTCATGTCGGGAAATCAAAGGAGTCCGGTCCAGCCGGCGGTTCGGCCGGTTGGGCCAAAACCAGCTTCTTCTTCGGGAATCTGCTCGAGAGGTTCTTGGCTTGAGATTTTTACTTACAGGTACATTTGGAAAGCTGTGGTTTATGCTGTGTTGTAATGCCTCGATTTGGTTGAACCGAACCAAACCGGACATAACCGTAAATTCCGGTTATCTAATCTTCTTTGGTGGGACCCCAATTCGAACGTTTCCGGTAAGTGTAATATAGAATAATGGAACTTGTGGCATCACCATTGAAGGGCATGTGTTGTGTTATCAATGAAAATATTTGGTTGACTTACAAATGCATATTTATTTATTTTTTTAATTTTTTTCAAAATTTACATGATACCATAGAAAACGCCATGGAGTGCGGACATAGAAAAGGCAAACAGCTGGTAGTCTAAACATGCAAGAAACCTGGTTGGAAATGCATTAAGACCTTTCTCTTCTCCCCAATAGTTTCGACGAATTTAAAACAAGAAATAAAATACATAACGCTTTGATACTAAATTGTAAATAATGTTCTAAATGGTAATGAGAACAAAACGTAAATTATTGTTAAAACAAACATTTATTTTAACAATAATGAAAAAATTCGTTCCCATTATTTTATAATGATTTTTAATAATCTAAAAAAAATATGTTCGGTGGTGGAAAATGGATGGGACCCCCGAGAATTTGGGTGGATTTTTCTCGTGCGGCTTCGTTTCTAATCAAAAGAAACATATCCTTTACTTTCCTTTTTGTTCTTTTTAAAAATACTTATTTTTCCTCCAAAAGTAAAGGCTAATTTATTATTGCGAAAAATTAAGAGCCATTGATTGTGGAAACGAAGGAATAATAGTCGGTCGTACATTTTGATTTAATTAAACGAAAATAAAGTTGTTTGTAACTGTAGGTTTGTTTTCATTTTTATCCGTACCTCATGAGATTTAAGATTTACGTGGATTTAATTGAGTAATTGTCTAAACAATAATATATATATATATATAACTTAGATGGGTCAGAATCTAATTCAAAGTACCAAATACAAGTATGATCAAACAAAAATCGATGGGATCATAATTTATATCAGCAACGTGCCACCGTTGGTTTTATGACACGTGTCTTCCCACGTGTCAGCAAATCATCACCCGTACGCTTCCCCCTTCCCCTCGGTATCTTCTACGACGGCTCTGTGGCTCATCTTGTGATCACCTCAAAGCATAAAAAAGGGAAAGGAATTTAAGAAAGAAAAATAATTTCGAGAGAAAACCCAGAAAGCGGAAGGAAGAAACGAAGCCATAGGTATGATCGTAAGGCCAAAGTTTGAATTTTTATTTATCATATTGGGTGGGTTTTCGAAAGAGAGGATTCTGGTGTAGCAAATTCAATGGTCGTACGTTAGTCAATGGAATAATATAATCTTTTAATTTCAGGGATCAATTCTTTCGCTTTCTGGGAAAATCCAGTGGCCCAGAAGCGAAGAGAAGAGGATTATATGTTTTAAAAAACACCCACTTTTATTAGAGATTGGTCTCTTGATTCAATCCTCTCGTTTTTGTATCCCTTTCCTGAGTTTGATCATTTCTTCTCCAGGCATAAGTACAGAAGAAAAATAGAGGGTTCTTACTGTTTCTATTAAGCAGATTTCTTCAAGCAAGATCCCTAGCTTGTCTCTCTTTGTCGGCTTCCGAGGTTGTGAGTTACAGATATTTACCCTCCCTCTCTCTGGTGAAAGGTTCAATCTTATGATGGGAAGAGAAGCAGCGAGAACGACAAAAGGGTCACCGGTGGAATTGAACAGGAGCTTTCAGAAGATGGCTATGGCGGGTTCTGGGGTGATGAAGATGGAGGGTTTGGCGATCACGGAGTGGAAAGACATCCCAGTGGAGCTTCTGATGAGGATACTTTCCCTCGTCGATGATCGGACGGTGATAATGGCTTCTGGTGTTTGCAGCGGTTGGAGAGACGCCATATGCTTTGGCCTCACTCATCTCTGCCTCTCTTGGTACATAATTTCTCTCTACCCTTTTGGCATAATCATCGCATACATCATGATTCATGAATGTGGCTTTGCATCTATGTCATGTCGTTTGAGAGGTTGGTTGAAGAGGATAATCCGATTATCATAATCAGAAGCATAGATATGATGAGGGTTCTGGAGATTTTGGGGGTTTTCGATTATGTTGGTTGTTGTCTGGTTGGGACGAAGCTCAATTTTTTCTGTTGTTTTCATGTCTGAGGGTCTTTTCTTCAGTTAAAGGCGATTATTCATATGATTAGGCGTATAAGAATAAGCTTCGAAGAACTTTTTCTTGTGGGTAGGTGCAAAGAGTGAAACTTTATCAAGTTTCGATGAAACCCTTTTGGTCGATCCATCGAGTTTTATAGAAACTAGGAGGTTAATTCAAATGGCTGGATGATTTCGATAAGAGTATACTCATGCTTTTGTGTGTAATCGTCGATCTATTTTCTTCAGGTGCAAGAACAACATGAACAATCTGGTCCTCTCTCTCGCTCCCAAGTTCACAAAGTTGCAGACTTTAATACTTCGGCAGGACAAACCCCAGCTCGAGGACAATTCTGTGAAAGCTATTGCGAATTACTGCCATGAGTTGCAGGACCTCGATCTCAGCAAAAGCTTCAAGCTTTCCGACCGTTCCCTCTATGCTCTTGCCGATGGCTGTCCTAACCTTATGAAACTCAACATCAGTGGCTGCACTTCGTTCAACGAAGACGGTCTTGCGTATCTGACCAGTTTCTGCCGGAAGCTCAAAGTTCTGAATCTTTGCGGATGTGTGAAAGCTGCTTCAGACAATGCGCTTCAGGTCGTTTGATTTTTTCTTGGTCGGATCTTTCTTTCTTTACCGCCTTTATCTGGTTACCAAGTGGCAAAATTGTCTGAAATTCTTCGTCTTCATCGTGATAATCTGCAGGCTATTGGTCGCAACTGTAACCAGTTACAGTCATTAAACCTCGGATGGTGCGATAATATCAGCGATTCCGGGGTGATGAGTTTAGCATACGGTTGCCCGGATCTCAGGACCTTGGACCTGTGTGGCTGTGTTCTTATTACAGGTAAGTGTTTGACATGTTTTCAGTTAACGATTTAGGGTTTAGGGTTTAACGAAGTGAAAGCCAACACCAATGGACTAAGACACGAGCATTTGGGTTGTAAACTTGTAACTGTAACTGAACTGATTGATACTAATAAAAGGGGTTAGGGCTTAGGTACTAGGATTTAGGGTTAGTATTTAGGGTTTAGGGATCATATGTATCGATGTCAAAGCCGACACCAGTGTAGGGTAACAATTTAGGGTTTCGTGTTTATCTATATGAAAGGCAACACCAATGGACTAAGACATGAGTTCACACCACTGAACTGAAATAACTTCACTTTGTTCGTATTTGTTTTGTAGACGAGAGCGTGGTAGCTCTGGCAAACAGGTGTGTCCATCTACGTTCTCTCGGGTTGTACTACTGCAGGAACATCACGGACAGAGCGATGTACTCGTTGGCTCAGAGCGGCGTAAAAAACAAACCCGAGATGTGGAAATTGTCTTCGGTAAAGAGGAGGAAGGGAAAACCCGACGAGGAAGGGCTAAGGAGCCTGAACATAAGCCAATGCACCGCCCTCACGCCGTCGGCCGTTCAGGCGGTCTGCGACACTTTCCCGGCCCTCCACACGTGTTCCGGCCGACATTCCCTCGTCATGAGCGGCTGTCTTAACTTAACCTCCGTTCACTGCGCCTGCATCTTCCGCTCTCACCATGCTTTCCCTCACACCGCTCATTGAAACAGATTTCTGGTGGATAGATCTTTGAATGCGAATGTGTGCGTGTATATATATGATTTGAAGGTGGAAAGAAGAGCTTGTCCTTGTTCTTCTTTTTGGTATTTATAAAGGCTGGGACTTTGGAGATATTCATGGGATTTCAGTAATGTCGTCAGGTGTTGTCTGAAACAGAGCAGGCTGAAACAGGGCACTCTGTTTCTTCTTTCTGTCTTAGTTCATGTACATTTCGGACAAGGGAAACACTTCGAACCTTCAGTAAAAACTCAATCTTTGAGAGCTTATTTACGTTTTTGCCATATTCACTATTCACTTGTTATGGTAGATATTTGAAGGGTTATTATAAAAAATACCTTTACTTTTCTATTTTGCTTTACTTTTCTATTTTGATTTTTTCTATTTTGATTTTCTATTTTGATTTCAAGGTATATCATTTTTGATGATCCATGATCCATGATTTTTGTTATTTTGATCATAACGTTAAATTTTTTATGATCACAGCTATTCATTATGTTTATATCTTATATATCTTACTATTCATTATGTTCATATCTTATATATCTTACTAATCATTTGATAAAAATTTATAAATTTAATATTGTGATTAATATGATCAAAATTAAATTTCTGATCACATTTATAACATGAGAAGTAAAAATCGCAAATGGAATGTATTTTTGATATAATGCCTATTTGAAGTAAAACCGTGTATACAGTTGGCATGTGTGTGTATATGTGACCGCATACAATAATACATGTATACGTAGTATCGTATATTCGACGATATTAGTTTAGTTTTAGTATAATTTTTCCTTGGTTGATGCATCTAATCATCACATTGCTGTCATTTTCGGACAGAGGTCCTTACAATATGTTTCCATAAATTATTACAATATGTTGCTTTCTTAGCGATCGGACGTCCGTATTACAAAATTAATTTTGGGGTCTAATGATCATTGTTTGTGGCCCAACTCTTATAGCATGTGTATATAACATAGATCATAGCCTATAAAATAAAATAAAAATTCTTAATTGTATAATTAACAATTCTAATCCAGCAATTTTGCAATCATTGCACACAGTTGATTCTTCCTTCTGCTTTAATAAAAAAATAAATAATAATTTGGGTTTGGTCCATTTATCACAAATCATATAACGAATAATACTTCTCGTTCTCAAAACCCAACAGACCAAAAGTTAAAAAGATTATAAATTTCTCGAAGCAACCCAAAAGAAAAATAAAGAAGTAAAATAATATATATACATATATATGTATATATGTAAGCATCTGCATGCATGTGATATGGATTGTGGAGATGATCATTTCCCTTTGTAGACGATCTCATCATCATCAACGTCGAATGCTGGGTTGCAGAGACACCTGAATAGCCTACCAATTCCCTGCAATTTTTTTTTTTTCTCACATGAACATATACACACTCAGTTATATATATATATATACATACATATATGCATATATCGTCTTCTCCAATCAAAATCCGACATCCGAGCATGTTACCTGAGTAAGCAGGGGAGTTCTGTAAGAGAGTTGTTGCGATGAGTAGTCGTCGTCGTCATCGCTGCTGCTGTCGGAACTGCTTCCATCGTCGTCATCCGATCTTCTCGACGATTCTCCGCCCTTTGATTCCTTTTCTTGCTGCACAAGTCATCGCCCGAATCAGTTTTCTCCTTCTTCTCCGAGAAAATGGCTTCACAGATCAAGAGAGAGAGAGAGAGGGTGAGCTGGTTCAAGACCTGAAATATCTTGCCGAGGATCTTCAGAGCGATGGCTCGAGATTTCAGCTCTTCCTTCCTCACGTTGTGTTCGCGCAGAACCTGACGAGTTTCAATAACCACAAGCCGTAAGAATTTCGAGTGCTTTGGAGTGACAAAATTAGGGTAAGGTTGGACGCGGATCGGGTATCCGAAATTTCCGGTGTATCTTGTTTCAATCTCGTCCCTTGTGGTTTCTCGGTTAGAGCAGTCGGTCTCGGTGTGGTGAGAATCGGATACCCGAGCTTAGGGTATCCGTCGGAGCGCCGTGAGGGCTCGGATGACCGGTGAGGCGAGAGCAAATCGAAATCGTGAAAACAGAATGGTTATGATTTCTCAAAAAAACGTATAGAACAAGATAACAAAAATAATCGAAAAAACGAAGATTTCTTTGAAAAATATCAATAAAAACCGAAATCGAATTGAATTCAATATAAAAAAATGAACAGATTATAATTTTTTTAAACTGAAATAACCGAATCCGAAATGATCATCCCCCGTACGGGTAATCGGTCGACAAAATCCGATCTTGAACCCGCAACTCTGATTCACCGACACCACGGAATACCCGAATTTTGAGTACCTGCAGAGACAGAATACCCGCGAAAAGGATACCCGAATCGGGATACCCTCGCGCCGTGCCACCCGTAAGACAGAATAGTAGTAACGGAGAAGGAGGAGTGGGACCCACCATCTGACAGACATGTGAGAGAGTGACTTCGATGTCTACGACGTTGAGTTTCCACATCGAACTCATGAGCGTGTCCTTGTTCGACTGAATGTGCGTCTCTATGTCGCTTCCCTCCCTCCTCGACTTCCGGCCACTTTCTTCTTGCAGCTGAAGTAACTGAAAGGCTCCTGAACAGGCAACAATGTACTCTTCTTTCATATATATATATATATATATATATATATATATATGTATGTGTGTATGTATGTATATGTGTATATACACACCTTTGGCTGCGCTGATCTGTGATTTCCAAGAATGCCCTTTGTTCCGGACCCATTCTGCCAAGAATGGGACTCCCAAGTAGAGAGCTCTCTTCCCAAGTTCTTGAGCTGCTTGTCTCGTGTATACGTATCCGATCGTATGCAGTATATCGCCTCCAAACGCTGTATACATATATATGTATAGATTCATCGAAAATGAATGAATTTTCATCTTTTCATATAATTTCACGTGAAGATAACAAATATGCTGAAAAAAATATATGTATATATGGGAGAAGAAGAAGAAGAACGGCGAGAGGACACGTGCCTGCACCAGAGAGCCTCTTGGCCTCAGATTCTGCATGGCGAGTGAATCCTTCCTTGTCGCCATGAACGTATCGATTCAGGAAGCCTCTGAGAAACCTCGCTAGGGTTTCTTCTCTTTCTCTCTGAACACCCTGGCAAAAAAAATGATCTGAGATTACTTGTGAAAGAAGTATCTAACGAGTTCGCATGAGGATCAAATGGTGAGTAACAACTGCCACTCGCCCTCAGTTTCTCATGGATCGTAAAAGGGCTGTCACTTTCAGATGCCAATTCAGTGGAAGCCATTGATGCAACAGCCAAGTGACCGACGTAATCCTCGAAAAGCTCGCTCCCGAAGAGAATGGCGAAGACAGCCATCGGATCAAGCATCGTTTCCCTGACCCCACAAAAAAAATTCAGACAGCGGATGAAGAAGACACACAGATAAGGGACAGATGCAAGAACAAAAAAATAGGTGAGTTACTTGGTAACAGAGAATTTCCCATTCCGATCATATGCTTCACGATGAACAGGATCACTTAGAATCTGGTAGGCTTCACCAAGAACCTGCCCAGATTTTTTTTTTACGAAAGATCGATAAAACAAGAACAAGAAAGTGTAACAAAATCAAATAAACTATAAAACGATAATTAAAATCTTGCCTGAAACTTTTCCGCAGCTTGAGGGTCGCCTGGGTTCTTGTCCGGATGAACTTGTCTTGCCTGTAATAACACCAAAAAAACAGGATCAAGAAATGGATGGAACAGGGAATTTGCAAGAACAGTGGGAGAGATAACCATGTATATACAGTGCGATGAAAACCTTGAGGTAATAAGCTTTGCGAATCTCTTCCTCGGAAGCAGAGGGAGTGACGCCAAGAACATCGTAGTAAGCTGTATCCTTCATGATCCTTTTTTTCCCCCTCGATCACTCTCTCTTTCTCTCTCTGGAGAGTCGTTTGGGATCAGATCGAAAGTGAAGGAGAGCAAGAAATCGAGTAAAAGGAAAAGTGATGGAAAAGGGTTCTTGACAAAGTGAGTGTCTTGTGTGAAGTCAGTGTAGAGAGAGAGAGAGAGAGAGAGAGAGAGAGAGAGAGAGAGAGAGAGAGAGAGAGAGGGGGGGGGATTCACAAGTCACAAGATGATGATCGGGTTGGAACACTTTCCAGTTCTGCACATTAAATAAACAAATGTTTATGGTATGCTTTCTTCTTATATATATCATATTTTAAGCGGGAGATGAGATTGCACAGTGCTTTCTCTTTTTAACTGTCGTTTTTAGTGCTTCGTATCATTCTTGCCCCTTTCTCCTGCTTTTTGGCTTTACCATTTCTTTTTTTTTTTTTTCCAAAGCAATTTAATAATGGAGGCATCAAATGAAATGGGGCCGTTTGAGGGCCTTTGATGAAATATTTTTTAAACAGAAAAAAAGAAAAACATTAAATAATTAAAAAGAAGATTAAAAAAGGCATAAAGGTCCTACCGGGAGTCGAACCCAGGTCGCTGGATTCAAAGTCCAGAGTGCTAACCACTACACCATAGAACCTTCATGTTGGTGGACAACCGGATGACAAAAACATCCAATCAAGTTCCAATCCCCGTAAGTAAATAAATTATATGTGTACCTTAAGATACCAATCATAGGTCAAATGAAACGCTTCATTAATCTCCTTTTTTTTTTTTTGTAATTATCATTTAAAACCCATCACCGAAATTTTAAAACCCAAATCGGGCAAAATGACACATTCAGAAAGGATTCGACTTTGGAGAACAAATAAAACGAATGAACTGACCAAAACCTTTTGCCAATTCACCGACAAAGGCTTTTTACTTAGCTCTTCCACGTTTGCCGCCTCCTCCTCCTCCTCTCTTACCATACCGGCCTCCTCCTCCTCCTCCTCTCTTACCATCACGGTCACCGCCTCCTCTCTTACCATCACGGCCGCCACCTCCTCTCTTACCACCACGGCCAACGCCTCCGCCTTTGCCACGGTTGGAAACTTTCTTGTTCTTAAGGTAGTCAGCTCTCTTCGCCTTCTGCAGCCTCTCCTTCCGGACCTGCTCCATATCTTTGATCTCTGACCGCACATTCCCATTCGGTACCGATCCTTGCCTTCTCCCTCTCCCGCCTCTGAACCTCCCTCCTCTTCCTCCTGACCCGACCCCCAAGAGTTCAATGCCACGTCAGGCTTGAGTTTTGACGAGCCTTTTCTGCTCTCCGTAGAAAAAAAAAATACGGAATAACGTACCTGTCCCTGTCGAGCTTGTGGTAGCATCACCCTCCGCATCCCCGTCTCGGCTAAACACTTTCTTGTGAGACCTCTCCTTCCATTTCTTGTATATCCCTGTCTTTGTGGCTTTCACTTTAGCCCCACTCTCTGTCTTAACCTATACATTACATACATTTCTCATGATGAATCATCACTCGCTCACCAAGTCAATCGATCATTTTTTTGCGTTATTTGCTAATAAGAGACAAGACATCGTTACCTTTCCGCTGGCTGTAACTCGATCCCCGTTGTTGAGTTTGATGTACTTTTTGCTCCTCTGCCAGCCAAAAACCATTTTGAGTTTTTTTTTACAAGGAAGATTGTTTATAGGGAACTGATTGAGTGAGTTTATGACATGATGTTCTTCAAACTCCTTACCTTGTCCCAGTGATAGACTGATTGTTGCTTCTTCATGCCTTCGCCGTCATCTGCAACTAGGTCCAAAACAGCAGACTCCAGCCTATAATGCGAAGAAAAAAAATCACGTCGTGGATTTGTTTAGATACGAGACTCTAGACTTTGTTTTCTCAATTCCATTAATATTTCCGCGAAAATATTCTAAAAGGGTCGACAAAAACAAAAGATTTACCTATTTGCTCCAAAGCCTTCGTTACCTCTCACAGATAGACCAGCCTCTGAATGCTGCGTGCAATTGCAAAGAGTGAAGACCAACAAGCTAGCCAATCTCGATATTTGATTGATGGCACTCAAGGAGCGGAATCGAGAAAGATCAAATGCCGTACAGAACAGATTATTCTTGCAAACGTTGTACAATGATTCATAACATGAAAGTGGGAACTTACATGGTTTATTGGTATGGAGCTAATATAAAACTCTTCGTCCTTGAAGCATTTCGCCTTCCTTTTTGTACCGCCTGAAACCCATGCAAAGCAATAATAAAAAGCTGAATAACCAAGGAAATGCAGAAAAATCAAATTGAACTTGAATGAACAATAGGCAAGCATACCTTTGCTTTCCTTTTCCTTTAACTTGCCCTCAACATAGGCAGTTGTAGGTTCAGGATCCTAGACATATACAAAGATTCATGTTAAGTGAACAATAATAACAACAAAAAGAAATAAAACAAATCAAAATCCAGTCTATAGCAATGCATGTATAGAATCTCGTTTTCTATTTTTCCTCACGCGTGTGCAGAAACCTTTTAAAAGCAGGAAATTCACAAGAACCAACAGGCTCTGCCTCATATAAAAAAGCCCCAACTTTGTTACGACCAATCTAAAGTAATCTGAGCTAAGGCAAAGGGTAAAAGAAAAGGCACACGAGTATAATATGAGAAAGACGAGAGCAGGAGATAGAATTCACCTCCAGATGATTAATGGAGAGCTGTTGACGCTGTTGATGTCTCATATTAATGACCTTCTCATGAATGGCTCTCTTCTTTTTCATCACATCAACCCATTGACTCGAAGGACCCTGCAGAACAACCAAAGCTTTCGGCTTAGAGGAATGCTGTATATACTAGAATAGAATTCACAATTTATTAATCAAAACTAACACCTTACACGAGAATTCTGAAACCATATAATAGCCATGCTTACCAAACGAAAAGACTAAACCGGGAAAGTAAAGGCTCACCTGTACATTTTTTGATTTGGCAGCTTCACCTTCTGCTTCAAGAATGGTCTGCTTGGGTCTAGCACACAGATAAAAGATCGCATAATTTAAGATTTTCATGTCAAATTATGCAGAAGTAAAACACTTGCTACCACTCTGGGCATAATCATGATTGTGGATGAGTAAATAATTTCATTACTCACCTGAAACTTTTCAGGCGCTCAGAAAATGCCATCGCAACTAACTCACCGCCTTCAATGATGCTTCTAAAGATTGGATGCAAGCCTCCTCGGGGTAAATCCTTTGCTCTCCGGATAGACTCTTTTGAAGGCAAGGGTTTTGTTTTCGAATACAAGCGAAAAGCTTTTGTGCATGTTGTTTCAAGTGAATCCAGTTCAGCAGATGAATGAATCACCTCTCGAATTCGATCCGAAATCAGATCAATGGTTTTTTGAGGGAAACGCCCGTAAACAGTTTCCCCGCTTTCCATTGCTTGGTCGATTCTGTTCATTACCCCTTCCATATCCTGCAACACCTCATCCTCAGCGGGTGCAGGCCTGATCGGTTTTGAGAGAAATAAATGAAGATCTAACACATACGGGATATCCTCGGGTGTAACAAAGGAATATGCAGAACCTGTACGACCAGCTCTTGCAGCTCTTCCCACCCGATGGACAAAAATTTTCGGTTTTGGAGGGAAATCCCAGTTTATAACATTGTCGAGCAAAGGTATGTCAATTCCCCTAGCAGCGATATCTGTCACAATCAACAACATAGTCTTCCTCGCTCTGAACCTCGATATGTGAATCTTCCGAGCATCTTGATCCATGTCACCGTAACATACAGATGGCTCGATATTTTCTGTCCTAAACAGTGAGTTAAGGAACTCCACATGATGCTTCGTCGAAACAAATATCAAGGTCTGTTGCTCCGAACTTATATGCTCTCTTACCAGATATATCAACGCTCCATACTTTTCTTCCTGGCGCAATGTAAAAAACGTGAGCTTCAAATCCGGGCTTATCTTGGATTCCACATCTAGCCGGACAAGCTGAGGATCTCGCAACCCGGCCTTGGCAAATTCTGCTAGCGCACTTGGCAAGGTGGCACTAAAAAGCAAAGTCTGACGGTTCTCACTCAACTGGGAGAGAATCTGATGCAGCTGTTCGGCAAAACCCATACCGAAGAGACTATCTGCCTCGTCAAAAACCACATACTCCACGGTCCGAAGTGACATGTCATCTACCTCGGACAAATGATGCATAAGCCTACCAGGCGTCGCAATTATGATATCCGGATTCTTTGCTAACTCTTCAAACTGTTCTTCCATGCTATCACCACCAACCAGCAAGGTAACACGAAGATCTGAAACAAATAATAGTATGTAAAATGTGTTTAACTCTCGGTAAAAAAAGAAGCCCACCCATTACCTAGGGACCAAAATCGGACTCGATTTCCCCCTCATTCATTCATTTCTACACTAAACCAAACAGGTTCTTGTCTACTGTTCTACAATTAGTTGTAAAGGATTTCAAACTTTCAGATTCCAATTCAATCAAAATCAAATGTCATAGAGAGAGAGTAACCTTTCCTATGATAAAACAATGTCTTGACCTTGCAAGCAAATAACTTCATGCAAAAAAAACGAAGCCCAACCTGTAAATTTGCCGAGTTCTTTGGTGAACTTCAATGTCTGCTCAGCCAAGTCACGAGTAGGGGACAGGATAAGACCCCGAACGCCTCCCTGCGTCATGTGCTCTTTGAGCTTCTCCAGCATGGGGACAAGAAATGCCGCGGTTTTCCCGGAACCGGTCCGAGCCATGGCGACGACATCAGCGCCGGAGAGAATAATCGGCATCGTCTTCCGCTGAATCGGCGTGGGAACTCTGTAACCCTTCTGCTTGATGCCTCTGTAGACATTAGGGCTGAGGTTTAGAGACTCGAACCCTCCCGATTTCGCCTTCTTCTTCTGTTTCTCTTTTCGATGAAGCTCCGTGACCGAGCTCACTAGGAGCTTCTTTCCTGCTCCTCCCATGGCGAATCCTAGAAACAGAAGGAAGAACAGAAACCCTGGTCACTGGTAAGACTGCTCGTGCCGCTGTAGGAAGAATCAATCTGCGATGTATCTAAATGTACTCCTAAAGGGCAATTCCGAGATGATAAACAGCACAATACTCCAACCCGTGATTCCTTAGACAGATACGGAAATGAAATCAAAGGCGATGTATCTATCAGGACCGAAGAGCATGTAATAGTTCGACCTGTTTCTTTAGACAACGATTTGGCTGGAGATATACCTCACAGTGAAACTAAGGTTTTACTACAGAAGACAGTGGAACTCCAGTTGGTCTTAGACACTTCAAGGATGTTCACGAGAAGCTTGCTCTCATGTCCGAGCTACTGATCAAACGCAGAGCAGGTCCAGGCGTAAGGGCAGAGGGAGGAAGAAGAAGCCGCGAAAATTAGGGTTTAACATATGGCATCCAAAACTGTGTAATGGGCTTAATGGGCTTGAAGAAATGGTAATCAAAACTATATTGGGCTTAATGGACTTAATCTGGGCCCATGTGGAATGCAAAAAGTTAATTTATATACAAATATGAAATATCATAATTAATTACGATTTTTTTAAGTTCTAATCGTTATTTTCTCCTTGAACTCACTCAAAAGTCTAAACGCTATTATTCCCAATAACTTGTAGGTTTTCCATGTTACCGAGTTTCTAGAAATTAAATGATTTTATATATGAACTAAAATAAATGAGCTTATATCTACAATTATTTTTTTTAAATTTAACAATTAAAATTTGTTAGAAAATATGAACAGTTTACACTTATTTTGGCTTTCATATGACTCTATCTACTATCTATATTAGAAATATTTTTTTCCCATATGAGAATTTTTCTATTTAAACTCATTCCAGCCTTTCCATATTTTATGATAAATTTTATGATAATGTTTTCATAGTAGTTTTACATACAAACACAATCCCTATAATAAAATTTATAATTATGTTTTTTCATAATAATTTTACATGCCAACACAATTACCATGTCTTATATTATTATTACTTGTGGATAAGGTTAACAATTCCGAGTGATGAAGACTTGTGATTCAATGAATTTGGTGGTTAGTTGACTATAAACATGAAAATTTTCAAAATTTCTATATTTTTATATGATTGGATTCTTTACACATTGTGCATTCTCAAGGGTTAAAACCGTCAATTTACATTGGAGAAATTCCACTTTCAAAAGGTAGTGGAAACTTATCCTATAGAACAAATGCAAAAGTCTTCTTACCATATCAACTACTATCCAATTAAATATTCCACATAATTTATTAAGAACAATAACTTAAACAAATCACTAACATTTAAAAAAGTTCAATGAATTTTATAATTTTTATATAAAAGAAAAAACATTACAAATCTTGTCATATTTCCAAGTATTTATTTATTTTATGAATTTTTAACTTACGAATTTGTGAATTTTTGGAAATAGGATAAAATAATTTTATATAGATATTATAAAAAATCGTGATTTTCTAGATTATTTTTTCCTTTTATTAATGGATACTTCCTCTCAAAATAATTATATTAACTTCACATAAATTCATAGTTCTAGAACCCAAAACAATGCCGTTTCGATTTTGGTAGTTCACCTCAAAGATTATGACGTTGATTTCGATATTTATTAAATTTCTACTAATTCGGTTTTAAAAAATTATATTAAATTTAATTTAATGTTATTCGATTTGGTTTATTATATCCCAAAAATAATATATAATATGTCCCTACAAAACTGTAAGCATTCCATACACAATGAAAAAGCAATTTAAAAATTTGAAATTTATCTACAAAATATCTGAATGTCGGTGATCTCTTCAACAAAGAAAACTAATTATACTAAAATTATTTAGAGATAATTAAACTATAAATCTAAAGTTTCAGCTATTATTGTTTTTATGTTGGAAAATTTCTTTATGATTGAAGATATTTATTAATATTTTCTATTCACATATAATTGTGTGTAGTGTATGTATATGTGTAAGTATTTTTTTTATGGTCCATTATCCTAAGAATGGAATTCGTCAACACGTTATTCAACTAAAAATTGGAAGGGCAAACTACCGTACGATCGACTTTATCCAACGGTCATTATAGTTTTTATTTATTAATTCAAGCTCTTCATCATATTATTTAGGCATGCGAACCTTTTGACCGAGTGAGAAGGTCTCACTCCCGAACATATATTATTTATTTATTTATTTATTTATGAAGCTATTTCTAATTACAAAAATAGCATTATTAATGTTAGACAGGGATTCTTTGCGATGATTTATCCTATTTCCACAAAACGTTTAAGATCTACAAAAAAATAAATTATTTAAGTGTCCTTTGTGTGTTCATAAAAAAATGTTATATAAATGGACCATAAATAATAGGTTTATAGTGTATTAATATGTTATATCTAATATTAAGTTATTATTAAAATTTGTAACTATATATTAGTAGATTATAGATAGTTTTTGTAAGCTGAAGATTCATTCTTTTTTATTTAAATTAGTTATTGGATGTCAAAAAGTGTAGAATGTTTGACAAGGATTTTCTTCACCAATATAGCATAATATTAATATTTATTTAGATATTCTATATACAAATAGATCTAGAAAACAGCCAGATCTTAAAAAATAATACTGTGGGTTTTAAAACGGAGAAAATACTAATACAACTTACAATATAATTCATAAAAAAGTTATTATGTTTTAGTTCCAAATATTATATTATTTTCCTTTTATCAACTAACAATGATTGTTCATACCAAAAAAAAATTTAATTCATACAAAAAAAACTAACAATTATTGGTAAACCAAACTGAATTTAATATAATTCATAAAAAAAACAGCTATTGTGTTTTAGTTCCAAATATTATATTATTTTCCTTTTATCAACTGAAAATTATTGGTAATCCAAACTCAATTTGATTTCCTAAATCTGAGGAATAATATTAAGCCTCTTGTGACATAAAAAGATTAAAAATAAATTAAAAATTCAGGCATTTTAAGTGTTTTTTATTTTATTTTTCCTATATATATATATATGGTTTCTGTTGCTTTTCAACCTAACACCACACTCTTAAAAAAAAGGTTGTCTTTTTAATCAAAGACCTCATTGCCCGAGAGAGAGAGAGAACGCGGATTTAAGAAACCGGGGTGTTGTGTCCTGTTTTGCGTCAACAGTTGGAGAAAGGTCAAACCTTTACGCTCTCTCCCTTTGGCATTTTCCGACGATTCAGAGGTTGTAATCGGATTTCGATCTTATCAAATCCATTTGGGCTTCTAATCTCCCCTGGTATTTGACTTTTTTTCTGTTCTTTGGGTGATTTCACTTGCTTTAGATTTCTGAAATTTTTTCATGATTTGCTTTAGATTTCCCTAGATTTGTTGCCTTTTGATCTGTATTAGTTCGAATTCGCTTTTCTGCAAGGTTTTTTCTAGGTCAGATGCTTATTCGCTTGAAAATTCCTTGCTATACATGCGTATTCGTTCCAAATCCGATATTTTCTTGGAGGAAATGGAAGATAGTGGCTTTAAACTCGTCTGAGAATTTTGGTTATGGTGTTTTTTTTTCCTGTCTGGTCTTAATCCGATGTTAGAATCAGTGATTTGCAGTGAATATACAGACACACACATATATATATATATATATAAAGCTTTTGGATAATGGAATTTCGAGTACTCGGATTGAATTTGTCGTTGCTCCAAACGGGTTTAAGTGATATGAACTTATGCAGATAAATCTGTCTGAAATCAGTATATTGTTCTGCACAGCCAAATTTTAACATTCTATGATCTGTTCTTACATTTCTCCGAAGCTGTTTCGTGTTTCGCATGCTCGTATTCACCTCTTGGATTTTGCCCGTGAAATTCTTTCGGAAAGTTTTGCTTCTTACTTGTCTGGAAATTTCTCATTACAGCTCGGTTCGATTCGTATGGTGAAACAAGTTCTGGTCTGAGAACGGACTGATCAAAACTGTTGGATAAGATAATGTCATTAGTAAGGTCAGCAGAGCCGTCGGCTGCATCGTACAGGAACCCGAAGCTTTACTCTCTGAAGGAGAACAGTAACAATGTCGGTTTGTCCTCCTCTCAGGTCTTTGCTTCAGACAGGCCGCCGAACAACATGTTCTTGGCAGATTCCTACTCGAGCCAAAGTTACGAGAAGTACTTTCTTGATTCCCCGACAGAAGAGCTGATTCAGCCTCTCGGGTCTGGTGCCTCGATGAGCTCGTATGGGTCTCCCGAGACATACCCTTATCAGACAAGACCGGTTCTCGGATGCTCCATGGAAATTCAGATGCCCTTTGATTCATCCTTTCCATCTCCGAGAATGTTCGGAGGCCATCAAGCAGAGTTCCTGCAGAGTTCAACAGGCATGGATGTGGTGGAATTTGACGAGGATAAGATGAGATCGAAGATTCAAGAGCTTGAGAGAGTTTTGTTCGAGGATGACAATGACGGGATCATGGGAATCGATCAGTTGATGGATATTGATAACGAATGGTCTTACCCGAACGAAAAGGAGCACGAGCAGAATCAGAACTCGCCGAAAGAATCCTCATCTGCAGATTCCAACTCTAATCTAAGCAGTGTCAGCATCAGCAACAAAGAAGTGCTGTCACAGACATCATCAGAAACTACTACTCCGAGGCAGATTCTTCTCCGATGTGCTCGGGTCCTGTCTGAAGGGAAATCGGAGGAGGCTTTATCCATGATAAACGAGCTCAGACAGGTGGTCTCGATCCAAGGAGATCCCTCGGAGAGAATTGCAGCTTATATGGTGGAAGGCTTAGCTGCAAGAATGGCTGCTTCTGGTAAATTTCTCTACAAAGCCCTGAAATGCAAAGAGCCTCCTTCTGATGAGAGGCTTGCAGCCATGCAGGTCCTCTTCGAGGTATGCCCTTGTTTCAAGTTCGGGTTTTTGGCAGCTAATGGTGCGATAATCGAGGCCCTCGAAGACGAGGAGGAAGTTCACATAATAGACTTCGACATAAATCAAGGAAACCAATACATCACACTGATTCGGACGATTGCTGGGTTGCCCGGTAAAACTCCCCGCTTGAGGTTAACTGGAATCGATGATCCCGAATCGGTCCAACGCACGGTCGGAGGATTAAGAATCATCGGGTTGAGGCTCGAGCAGTTAGCAGAGGATCTCGGAGTACCTTTCAGGTTTACAGCCGTGCCCTCCAAGACATCCATCGTGACTCCATCAATGCTCGGTCACAAACCCGGGGAAACCCTGATCGTAAACTTCGCTTTCCAGCTCCATCACATGCCAGATGAGAGCGTATCCACGGTTAACGAACGGGACCAGCTTCTTCACATGGTCAAGAGCTTGAACCCGAAGCTAGTGACAGTCGTTGAACAAGACGTGAACACCAACACCGCCCCATTCTTCCCGAGGTTCCTCGAGGCTTACGACTACTACTCAGCTGTGTTTGAGTCTCTTGACATAACCCTCCCGAGGGACAGCCAGGACAGGATGAACGTAGAGAGGCAGTGTCTTGCCCGAGACATCGTTAACGTCGTTGCTTGCGAGGGGGAAGAACGGATAGAGAGATACGAAGTTGCGGGGAAATGGAGAGCGAGGATGATGATGGCGGGTTTCGCCTCCAAACCGATGAGCCTGAGAGTAACAAGCACCATACAGAGCCTCATAAAGCAGCAATACTGTGACAGGTATAAGCTCAAGGAAGAGATGGGCGAGCTCCATTTCAGCTGGGAGGAGAAAAGCTTGATCGTTGCTTCTGCTTGGAGGTGATATATATACAGTCTTCTTCTCAGAAGAAAGACATAGTTGCTGTGATCATAAACACTTGCATTTTGTCGACCTGCCTGAATGTTTTAGTGTAATATAGGGTTCATGTAACTTGCTTAAACCGTGACCTAATCTAACTTTTCTCGAACGATTCTTGTTGTGTTTCTGTTTACAAGAAGCATGTCTGTTTGTATATGCAGAAGTATGTTTTTCTGAAACATCACTGTCTCTGGGTCCATAGAAGCTTATCCATACTGAAACCTGAACTCTTCTCAGCACCTCAGGTTCTGAAATGAATATCCATCCATTCACGAAAGGTAAACTAATGAGTCAAGAAACGAAAGATAAAATCCCCAAACGTATCTCAGAACAAAGGACCAGTCTGGTCTTTCCTCAAACTAAGACAGGACAGGAGGAGGTGGTCTCTGCAAGAGAATCAGAATCAAGAATGGCTATGGAGAATTGCTTCCAAATGAGCAGTGTCTTCACGACAAGAGCTGGAGGACCCAAATGCCACCGTAACCCGTCTTCTTTCACAGAGAAGCTCCAAATCTCTACTGCTTGCAGACCATTCTCTACACCTTCTCTCTCATCCACTTCATTCTCTCTCCTAAATTCCAAAACCCAGAATTCAAGAATCATCTGCAAGGCCGGTGAAGCCCTAGACGAAGGTAAAGAAACGAAACAGCTGTTTTCTTCAGAACATGAATCTTGAATCTCTCTGTCTGAACATGATGGATTCTTGAGAAATGTGCAGTGAAATCAGTGGCAGGAAGGTGAATCTTGAATCTTTGTCTGAACATGTGAGACTCTAACATGATGGATTCTTGAGAAATGTGCAGTGAAGCCAGTGACAGAATCGACATGGGAGACGCAAGTGATTGGAAACGAGAACCCTGTCCTTGTGGAGTTCTGGGCCCCATGGTGTGGACCCTGCAAGATGGTTCAGCCTGTCATCGACGAACTGGCGAAGGAATATTCCGGCAAGATCTCGTGTTTCAAAGTCAACACGGACGAGAGCCCGAACATCGCGACCAAGTACAGTATCAGAAGCATCCCCACGATTCTGTTCTTCAAGAACGGTGAAAAGAAGGAAGGTATCATCGGAGCTGTCCAAAGGAAAACACTTTCCGACACGATCGAGAAGTACATAGATTAGAAAAGATAATCTTGAGTCCATGCAGATCTGAAGGATGGAAATAACCATGTCGCTTCTTTGCATTGTTTATTCAATATGTGAATATGAACACTACTATCATTATCCAAGATTCCGCATATGAACTATTACGTGTTTTCTCTTCCCTCCTTTTTTTTCTACCACAAAAACTAGTATACATCATGTTTAAAAAAAACATATGGCCGCACCTGTACGATGTTATTTTCACCTGTCTTAAGGAGATGGTTTCCAACCAAACTGAAGATGGTTCGAACCGTTTGTCGTGCCCAGAAGCTGGTTCCCCATGTCCCGCTCTTGTCGAGCCATGCCGTTCAAAACCGTATGGTGGTTGCTCTTAACTATGGCTCCTCTGGTTCGGTTCATACCCGAACCCGTCACGCTGAAACCCGAACCCGACGTCCATTGAGCTATTATTACCCGAGAACACACTGCCACTGCCAAGAACGGAGCCGTCATGTCCATGTAACATCCCGTTGTTTACCATTATGTTCTGCAAGATTTTCTCAACCGAACTCTGAGGCTTGCTTGAATCAGATTCCACGGGAGGAGCCAAACCGACCTGCCTGATATTGCTGGAGGAGCTCGAAGATGGCATCTGAAGCGGGTTTGATGCGTAGGGACTGCTCGGGTTAGTCGAAGAGGAGGACTGCCGTCCGTTCATGGAGTTCTGATGGAGAAGAGCGGGAACAGCACCAGAAGAAGAAGAGTTGAAGGAACTATTACGTGCCATACCATTAACGGAAGGATTCTTTCCTCGGGGAAAATTCATCAAACTCTCTGAAACAATGTATAGATGAAATGGTACGAGACCAAGTTAACGAGCAATTCTTGATGGAAATGGATTAAGGGATGAATCATACCAATAGGTCCGGTGCCCGTTTCCCAGCTATAATCGATCAAGTCCTTCATGCTGTTAACCACCTCCGATATCTACAGAAAAAAAAAAAAATTCAAGAACCATCCCTTATGAAGACGAGTATGAACAAAACCAAAAGGCACGAGACTTGACTTTTACTACCTGAAGGCAACGGACATATCTTTTCGAGTATCCCAAATCGTTTACTTGCGGTACTTCCAAGGCTTTTGCCAATTGCCTGGCCGAAGCCACAAAACTGGAAAGCAAAGAGGGACTTATAAATCAAGAACCAACATTACAATCAATAACTTTTTTCAACATGACGGGCAGACTGAAGTTGCATACGCATTATGATAGTTTTGGATATTCTGAACAGATGATGCATTTTGTGCAGCATTCTGATACTTTTGAGCCGTAACGCCAAGTTGACCGACCTGCAAAACACATCCTATGAGACCTATCATGTCTCCGCAAGAACACAGAGCAAGAAGAACAGTACGAGAAAAAAACATCCTTAAATGGAGGAGGAATGCTTAAAATTACCTACCTGAGGTATCAATACTCGTCGAGGTATAAGCTCTTCATGATGCCGGGCACAAAATTCCCAAGAGCAAATCTTGAAACAGGTCCAGATAATGATTGAGATGATGATGAGAAGGATGAAAAGAGAAGAGATGAAATTGGTTTATAGGCAGAAAAAACCTTGAGATCAGGAGAGAAAACTATCCGAAGCTGGCCATCTCGGACAACCCGAAGATTCTCGAAAACACTCTCCTGAATCGCTTTAGAGTAGTCGAGAACAATCTGACCAGATGAATTCCGATATTCTCTGGGTAGATCGATGTATAAAAGTTCTTCCAGAGTGCCACTTTCGTATTTTATCTTGAATAACCTCGGTAATACCTCAGCAGTTGCTTCTGAATTGCAGTAGCAAGATTGATTAGAATCGAGAAACCACAAAAGGGTTCGGGAATTCAAAAGTTTTACCAAATCCACGGCCTGGCTTCTGGTTGCATATCTCACAATGCCAAACACCCTAAAAAGATGAACAGAAAATGTATAATCTAAGCTTTGTAATCATGTAAAAACATATGTCTTGATCTCACCTGGGGACAAACTCCGGTCGGTTGTTTACCACTTCCATATATTGAAACACACCATTTCTTCCTTGCTTTGGGCTCGAAGAATTCAGTAACAAATCGTCTCCAAAATTCAATGTTATTGTCCTGCATTTTATAAGTCCACCTGATCATATGGGCAAAGAATAATAGGACGAAAGGAAAAAAAAGACAACCTAGAAAACAAGTAGAGATAGTTACTTCAGGTCTGTGTTGCTGCTGACACATGTACTGAGTAAGACGCCGAGCACATGTCCCGGGTTTATAGAGCGGTCTCGGAGGCATATTCTGCTGCTGAGGCATTGATTTCAAGTGTTGCTTCTGTTGCATTTGCAAGAATCTTTTCTGTTGTGACATGCGAAGTAGCTGCTGTTGCTGCTGCTGTTGTTGTTGTAGTAGTTGTTGGTGTTGTTGTTGCAGTTGTTGATGGAGAAACACTGAATTGTCTGAATAATGAGGTTTTACTGGACCAAGATTCCTAAGTGGCTGCAACTGTGGCTGTTGTCGTTGCCCTCGTTGATCATTCATGACCGGTGGCTCCATTGCGAACCCTCCCCGTATAGATGGAACCTGCTGCTGTAGCCCCTGCTGGAGGCTTTGTGAATTACGTTGTTGGACCCATTGCTGATCTCCTAACATCTGGTTATATGGAATGATAGTAAACTGCTGACCCGGAACCTGACCAGACGAGCTTGGATTCCCCATATCCATCGCCATAAAAGACGTTGAAGCATCAAACCCGATACCAGAAAGGGAATCAGGCTCGGCCCTGATGATATTAGAACCTGGGTGATGACCATTTCCAGGGCTCGGAAACACAGAGTTAGGCTCTCCTCCAAAAGACTGATTAATCAGAGAGGACATATTAGGAACAGTCCCGAGCACATTCACGTTATTAAACTGAGAATGAGATGGAACAGAATGGGAGCCACCAACAGGATTTGGTGTACCAGACAGCACCATTTCCAGAATCACTGCCTCGTCTATGAATTCATAAACTACGAAGGCCTTCTATAACACCATGGAAAGGATTCTGTGAGCAGCAAATTCAGACCAACCATTGTCAGTAGCATGGTCTCCACATCAAAACATCAACAGGGATTATGTCGGAGAAAATGTAGTTTTGATCCTTTTGAACATTCTAGAACAGCAGTGACTCCCTATGAACCATTATAACCCAAAAGCTTCAGCATCAACTCTGCTTCAGATCCAATTCCAATGTCAACAACACAGAATCACTCCAAATGCCCACTTTTTATCCCCGGCATTGGAAATCAAAATCCCTCCCGTACGAGAAACCATCAAATTAGTACCCAGAAAGAGACTTAAACCATTCAAGATTCCGAAATCAATGCTAAAGAAACAAAGGGACCCAAGTAAGCAAATCGATCAGAAAAGACAGCATTCAAATACAAACCATACATACATACATAATCTTGACAAATTAACGAGGAGGCTATAGAGTTCAACAGGCTTACCAGGGATGAAATTAGACGCCGACCCACTAAAAAAGACCGAATCTTTCGATCAAAAGTTCCAACAGAGGAGAAAAAGACAGAGACACGAGATAGGTATACGATCTCTCGAGCTGAACTTCTGTTCTGTTTCTTGTTCTCGTTTCACTTCCGCTTCTTATTCTGCTTCGCCTTCTTGTTGTTCTTCTTCGCTGTTGAATAATTCGATTTCCTGTAATAGCTTTTGTCTTCGCTTTTTCGATCCTTGTCTTTTGTATCAGCGCCTTCTGTTCTTCGCCGTATCTTTTAGAGAGAGAAGGAATGGCTTCCTAGAGAGAGAAGGCGTATGTTCTTGCGGACGTCAAAGGCGGATACGATCTGATTGAATCGCCTTATCATTCCTTCTTTCTCTCTCTCTCTACCGTGGAACGAAGTCAAAATGATATTATATTCCTTTCTATCTCCTCCATCTATGTCATGTCATGTTGTCATGGCCATATATAACATAATCCTACACATGCATGCTATACGTTTGTGTATATCTATGGCCACTCAATGCAAGACTTTCATTCACTTAAATCGACACTAATCACCGCTTTCAAATATGTAAATTGTTTTAAATTTTCCATTTTTAAATTTTAAATTTATTTCAGATTCTAATTTTGGATTAAATTTCATTATTTAACTAACGTATAATTTAATACAAGTCACATAATACATTTTTAGTACTAAAAAATTTAAGAAACTACAAATAATTTTAGATTTATTTCTAGACGCTTCAAAATTTAATATTTGTTCTGATATTTTTAAATTTTTTCTATATATTGTTTGCAAAAGTAATTCATCATTTAGTGAAATATGGATTTCCCCCCAAATAAAAATTTTATTTGTATTCAAGCATCATTATTTCTTCCACGTTATTAAATTAACTATGAAAAGAAAAAGTCGTTAAGCATGCCAATGGATGGCACATCTCATGATATCATTCACGACATATACATACATACATGAATATATATATATATATATATATGTATATGGGGCAGCAGCGTCGGATCGCATACTGAAATGATGAACTGACACGACATGTTGACATGTCGTGACGTGTTTAGGGGTCACGTGCTGTGACGTCCGTTGAAATTTTAACGCCACAGAATATGTTTTTTTTTTGTTTATTATATTTTTAATTTATTTTATAAAAATAAATAAATTATTGATTTGCCGTTGGAATCTTTGGTACTTATGTGACTACAGTATTTATCCTTTTTGTAATGTTTGGATGACACAATTGTCATGGGATTGTTTTATTTAAAATTTTTTTGTCTATTTGTTTTAAATTTTTTTGTTATGTTTATTAAAAAAATATTCGTATTCTATTTAGATTATTTTGATATTAAATTTAGATTTATTCAATTAGATTTATAAAAATATATCAAATTGGGTTGGATTAGTATATATATTTTTAGTTCATTACAATTATGTATTATTATTTGTTGATGTTTGGTTTTATAAATCTCCATCTAGTTTATATATATATATAACAAGATGGGCTTTGTGGCCCGTTGGTATTTGGGCTGCAAGTGTAAACCCATCAATAGGCCTGTTTTAAAGCCCAAAGAAAATATGAAATTGATAATGTTACAAATAACGTTGAAAATAGCATGTAATAAATTTTGTTTTAAGAAAACAAATAAACGTTTAGAATTTCGATGGAATTTCTGGATCTAAATCGTCTTGTCATTAGAAAAAAAAAACAATTACATAGTTCATATGCTCAATTCCCATCTATTGCACTTTTTTTAATCTGACTAGTTAATTTATTTTTTTTCATATCTGTAATATTTATATCAATAAATCAGAAAACAAATTTGAGGTAACTAAAAAGATCCATTATCCAAAAGATATTTTATTTTGAATAATATTAACAAATAAAATAGAAATACAATCAAACAGAAATCCGAGTAAAAACAGAATTGATATATTTTTTAAAATTAAAAATTTGGGGGGAAAAAGCAGTCAATCTAAAATCTTATCCATATCATCAAAAATCAGATTATGATTTATAACCAAATTAAGAAGAGAAACAGAACAGAACAAAGAGACCAAATGGTCCCTTCGGTGGGGACCACTTCACGCATCTCAACGGACCAATTTCTCTGATACCCCCAATTATCCCATTTTGTCACAATTTTACAAATATCTTTTTTTATTTTTTTAAATTACATATAATATTTTACATTCAACACCTACTGTTTAAAAATGTTACGTTTTCATAATTAAAGTTTATACTTGTTTTTAGGATCAACTGTTAGAGTTTCACATATATTTTAGTTCCGAATTTTTTATTTTTAAAATGTTTGTTTCCGCACGGCTCTAAATTCTAGGTTTTAAAAATATTACATCCATTAAATTTTTATATTTATTTTGAATTACATTTTTGTTTCTTCTTCTTCTTCTTCTTCTTTTTTATTTTTTTTTATTTTCATTTTATTCATTATTGAGAGGAAACGTTTTACATTTAAGGACAAGTTTTTCACTGCAAGAACACCCAAAAAAAAAAAACATCCTAGGGAGAAAACAGAGAGCAAAATCTCAGACATGTTGTTCTTGTTTTCCGTTTTCTGCACTCTGCTTCTTCTCCTCACCTTTCATCTCCACGCACTTCTTCTCTTCCACCTTCTCGCCTTTGTTTCCACAGTATATGAAGTACAGTATCAGCTGCATTGTCCCCAGACCGCACCCGAATCCGTTTGGAATCTGCCAAGACAACGGTGTTCGCATTCCAGATGAGAGAATTTCTGTTAAGTTTGCTTGCATCACAAGTACGAGATCTCACCGCGACAAAAGGGTCACGGCCGATGAGGCCATAGATGAACCAGGAAGTTCCGCAGAGGAAGACGAAGAGCGAGAGGAAGAAGGGCATGAACTCTACACTCTTTGTCTTTATCACCATTCTCTGAACATATCACAGAGATTCCAACAAAATCTGAGTGGATACACCGTTGATTTGATTTGCACAACTCCGAACAAAATCACACATAAACGGATTCAGTGGATTCACTCACCATGATTGAGAGGGGGGATGCGTACATGATGATGGAGAAAATGGTGGCAGCCAGACCACAGAAAAGCTTCCGGGGATTCCCATGGAGGGCAAAGAGAGAGACGAAAACCACGACAGAGAAGACGGCCATAACGCAGGAGAAGATGCCAAAGATCTTAGCTTTCTCCTTCTTGGGAGCATATACGAGGAATATCAACACATAGACAATCTCAATTGCTGCTCCTGTTCCATTAATCGTTGACACAAGTGTGTTGTTCTTCGACACAAAGGGAAGCCCGTACCTTCCCATAGAAACAGAGGGTAACAAAAAAACAACTTTGAGTAGATGAACTGTGCAGTAAATGGATCGAGGGAAGCAAAATTTGAAGATTTTGCATCATGGGCATATGATTAAGTTGAAAAAGATTCAAGCTTTGTGATTACCAAGCGGAGAGGAGACAGTTGAGGAGAGTCATTGGATATGGGATCCCAGAGAATTGTTCTGTCGACTTGTTCTTGATGATCCTCTTGAATGTGATCCTAATTTTTTTTAGCAACAAAAAAAAAAATAAAAAGCTTTGAACTTTACCGTAATTTCCATAGACCCATCAAGAAAATTTCGGAAATTTCCAGAAGAATTTTCGATTCAGCTACACAAAAAATACTGAAAACAGTTAACAAAAAAAAATACTGAAGACTACATACGTCGGTGCCAAGAAGAGGAACAGAGCAGTTGCATTTCCTGGAAAGTCACAGGGAAAACGTAGAAAATCTCAGAAATTTTCCGGGAAAGAGGAGGAAAGAGACAAACTTGATGGTACTTACCAAGAACGCCGAAGACGGTATGGGCGATATTCATCCTTCTCTTCGCCTATTCAAAGGCAGTTAAACGGGTTCTACTCTGCTTGTTTGTTAGCCGAGAAAGAGAGAGAAAATTAGCCGAGAAAACGAGAGAAAATGGAAGCCCAGAATCCCAAAAATCAAGGGAAGTAAGTGTAATTGCGAAGAAGCTTTGAGGTTAATATAGAGAGGCAGAGCGAGTACCTCCAAACCGCTTCACTCGTAATAATAAATAAATATTTATTATTATTTATTGTTTTTTATTCCTTTTTTTGTTTTCTCATGATTTATTATTTTATTCATTTTTATTTTCTCATTATTTATTATCTTCCTCAAATTTTAGTTTTTTTTTACAAATTTTATTTTTGATTCTTTGTAAAAACATTTGGTTCTTATCCAATGTGGTCACTCCTTTCTGCTAAGAACCCAAATTTGTAATCACAATTTTTTTTTAAAGGAGTTTTCGTTACAAACAAGAGGAATGTTCATCACATTTTAAACGTTTATATGCTCTCCGACAATAATTCCAATTTTCATTAACATTTATTAAATATAAAAATTGAATATGAACAAAAAAATAAATCCAAAAGATGAATTGGAGGTGTGACACTCATGCATGAAATCGGAACGTCAAACCATTAAAGGAACTAAATATTAAACAAGCATTTTGTTATTTTTTTATAAAAAAATTGAAAAAAAGAGTAAATTTGCCAAAATGACCAACTTACTTTGTGTAAATGGAGAACACATATTTATACAAACTCATAGGTATAAGGCGCTCGGCATATGGAAATCCAAAATTTTGAATACCAAATTCAATTTGTGAATTGGCTATGCGAAATTTGAGCATTTGTTTATGGATAGGATGAATATGGATTAATTCGACGATAATGAAAACTCGATTTTCGAATTCGAATTCAGTATAAGTTTGGATAATATCCGAAATTTAAATATACTATCAACGTAATTTAGACAATAAATTTTATAATTCACAAATTGAATATCCAATCTGTATCTAATTCTAAATATTATAATTTTTTATTTTAAATTTCATGGTTATTTTGTGTAAAGAATATGTTATTATATTTGAATAGAATTTAGGGTAAAAAGTTAATTAGGTATAAAGTATCCGTAATCAAATTGATCAATATTAAAAATAAAAATAGTCAAATAATTGATTAAAAATATAATTTTTTATAAGCAACTATTTTTAATCAAAATAGAATTATCAAAAATAAAATTCTAATCGAATCGAAATTGGATTTAGAAATAAGATAGACATGTTTTGTTTAATATGAAAATTTTAATTGCCAAAAAAGCAAATAGAAAATTATCCATTGGGAAATAAAAGAAAGAAGAAAACTGTCCGTTCCTAATTGGGAATGTGTGAGATTAAAATGTCAAAACACCAAATATATTTGGATTCCAAACGCAATTTTGGCCACAATAATAAACACTTTAATTAAGATCCATTTGAGGGTTATTAATGAAGTTCTTTATACCAATGTTTAGTGGACACAAATTATACTATTAAAATCGGAGATTTTCAAATTGGTTTTTCTAAAACATAAATATTAAAAGAAGGTATATAAATTCTATGATTGACTATATTATATATATATATATACAGATGTATCTAGTCAAATTAAACTCACTTATTATTATCAAGATTAGTTATGATTATTTAAATTATTTTATATAAATTTAATTAAAATGGTACTATTTAAACTAATTCAAATAAATTTATTATTAATTTAATGTTTATATTCTTAATAAAAAATTTAGTCCATACCTAAATACCTAAAATCATATTTATTGAGAAAGTTCTTTTTCAAATAAAAATGAAATCTTTTGTTACACCGAAATAGAAGTGACCTGAATGATAAAGAATCCAAGTTTTCCATAATTTTTTTCAATTATTATTTTATATATAAGAAGAAAAAAAAAGAGAGGGTATTGAATAAGGGTGGTTTGTAAGAACCAACCATGAAGTACAAATCTTTAAAAGCGATTGAATGCGTTACACTGTTCATATATATATATATATATATATATATATCATATGGATTTGTAAGATGTGTTTGCATTTACATCCGGAGTCTTCGTATATATATATGTTGATATTTTTATTTTTCTATTTCGTTTTGTAATGATTAGTAAATATGGTATTTATAATACAATATTGGTTATTTTGATTCGTTGATTCAGTTTGTTTTTCAAAACTCTTTATACCCTTTTTTTTCAATCATGCTTATGATTTTTTTAATATAGTTTTGTGTTAAAGATATAATTGCAAATTTTCACGTAGTGCATATTCTATTAAAAAGACAATAAAAACGAGGGTTAAGAAAAATAGAATAATTAAAAAATTCGAAACATAATTTATATGCGAGGAAGAACACATTAGTGTGGTAGGCAAAAGGACACATTCCATGTTCTGCTCTCCAAAGCACGAGCCTGTGATTGTGCCCTTTTTCCATATGTTATTTCTTAATTTAGATATATATACATACATATATATATATATATATATATGAATTTCTTGGAACATGGTTTTGTATGATATGGAAAGAATTCTCGTTGATTGGACGTTATTACACAATCGTACGCAACTGCTTGTATTAGGATATCATCATGCGAAATAGTTTTAAATCATATATATAATGATCTTTTTCCCGTTTGCCTAAATAAATTCCTTATTCAAACAAAAGTATAATTTTTAATAATTATAGAGTAATTTATTGTTTTTTTATCAACCATTATTTACAATTCTATTTGACTGTTTTCTCTATTGTAAATTTTATTTTTAAAAATTAGTTCTCGATTGGATTCGGTTTTAGTTTATATTTATTTTTATTAAAAAGAATATTCAATATATATATATATATATATATATATATATGTTTTATGTGTTCATAATATTTTTATATTTGGTCGATTAATTTGATTTAAAAAGAATGTATAATTGATTTTAAATTGAATAGGCATCATTAATGGATATTCAAAATATCTACTCCCACATCCTATTAGCACAAATGGATTAGTTTATTTTTTTTTATATAAAAGACTGAATTTTTATTTTTGCGTGTCGCACTTGCACAATATACATCATTCTTATTTTATTTTAATTTTTTCCACTATGTATTCATTATACCCAGTCAAGAATATACCATAAATTTCAATACTATATATCATAATTTAAATTCATAAATTATGTAATTAAAATGTATCGAAATGGACAGAATCACCTTTCAGGTTTCGGTTTAACTTCCACGTCACTTATTAAATGCAATAATAATAATAATAAAAGAATAAAAAGTGGATTACGTTAGTTTGAGAGAACCCACATGCACACACTTCACGTATCCTTCACTTTTGCGGACATTTCGACCTTCCATTTTTTGTGTACCTTTTCTAATAATACCACTAAAAATAAAATAAAAATAATTTTAAATGGTGATTTCTATATATATATATATATATATATATATATATGATTAACCGTTTGTTCCCTTCTTTTGAAAAATTAAATCGTCATCTTTGGTAATTCAATCGTACCAACTATATTTATTTGATTTAATTCACTGTTCCATTATTATATTGAATTTGATCAAGATTCAATTGAAATTAGATTCTGCAATGAAAATTGGTTCAAATTTGGAATATTAAGTTTGTATTCAGCGCCTAATGAACCAACCAAGTTGGCTTAGCTATAAGATGATTCCATTTGTTAGGCATAAACTGTTTTGACAAATACTGTAAATGTTAAATTCTTTTCTTCAACTACAAAAGAAGAAAATAACTTTATATATACATATCTATATGAGAAATAACGTCTAGCCCAAAACATGATTTAAAAGGAATTTTAGCTAACCTTTATATGGATGTAATATACATTGTGTTATAGATAGTTTTACATTCGATGGTTCGAGAGTTTTCTTTAGTATTAACAGAAAGATCACGATACTAATTAAAAATTAAAGAAAAAAGGGTATATTACACATTCCAATTTAGAATTAAATGGTATGATTAGGACCCTCTCATCATTGACGAAGACAAGTATGTGTGTGTGTATATATATATACACACATATGAGTGAAAGTGAAAGAGGTATATTGCCCTCAAGTGAAGGGCTCTCTCCTCGAAGTTCTTTAATTGCTTTTTGTTGAAAACTTTGTACCACCTTTATTTATTTGCATGCCCTTTTTTAACCTATAGTTTTGTCCACTTGTGAATGTGATGTTCCATCCATCATTGTGGTTTACATATATATATATATATATATAATGAAATTACAATAAATGGAATTAATGGTGTTTTGTTATGACAAAGACCACCGCACGGCATTTACAACTAGTGAACAGTTTTGAATATCTTCAATTAAAAAGAACGAACATGCGGTCACGATTTGATGATCATTCATCAACGAGACAACATTTACAACAAAAAAACAAAAAGTTGGTCCAAAAATTTGCACATGAGCCGATTCTTTCTTCAATTATTACAATTCATCTTTACATACATAGAGAGAGAGAGAGAGAGAAAGAGAGTTTAATGCAACTAATGAATCTCAAAGGTAAAAGGGCAAGTATGTTCCTAGATTATGTTAATATACAGACAAATTTTCTGTTAAAATCATACAAAGAGATCTTCGCAGACAGTAATGTTAGAACTATACAGGCAAGTTTTCTAAACCCTAAACCCAATATTAGGCGGCTCAACCGGTAACAAAGGGAGTAAAACTCTTTCTCAGCCCGACTTCGAGTCCTCATTTGGGGAAGAGCATTCATATAGACTTCTCCGTTCTTCTGGTAGATATAGTCGGGCCAAAGACCCGATGAACTTTTGGCTTATAAAAAAAAAAGTTTTTGGTTAAAATCATATCGAGAGATCTTCGCATACAGTAAGGTTGGAACAATACAGACAAGTTTTCGGTTAAAATCATATCGACAGATCGTCGAAGACAGTAATGTTAGAACAATACAGACAAGTTTTCGGTTAAAATCATATCGAGAGATCGTCGAAGACTGTAATGTTTCGGTTACCTGCATAACTCTGAGGCCCATTTTCTCTTCTGGCTTTCTGAAACAGATCAGACCGAAAGGAGAGCAGCTGGGGCCTGAAAGTAAGCTCTAGGTGATGGCAAATGTCAAGTTGATGTTCCATAAAGCTGTTTTTATCATGTCGTTACCGGAAATAGAAAGTTCTAGTGATAATGGAAATCAAATAGATAAGAGGGTTGTTCCATTACATCACCCAATACTCTTTGGCCCCCCATATTCATGCACATGATGATGACGATGGTGATGCCAAAAAACTGAAAATGAAATGAGATTTTTCCTAACATGAATGATTGTAGTTCCGTGTATGATTCCTTTTTCATCGGGATTATTGTTCATTTCTCGAATCAAAACAACAGATTTCGGCAGATAAACATTAGATTGAAGTTGTACCAGAGAAGAAGCAACCCTCCCATTCCCTGCATCTTGTCCCCTTCTGTAGTCAGTCATCCGTATGATCCATCCACATGACCTGCAAGATTTTGAAGTTGTTTACATACAACTGTATATGGTTTCTTCTGGTAGTTTTCCGATATCAAGTTTATATATTCCAATGACCAAAATAACAGAATAACCTACATTTCTGTTGCAGCACTAGAAATTCCGTGGTCTGTACTCTGTATCTCCTACAAGAAGCGACAGACGGGAAGAAAATCAGTGACAAATAGGACATTCAAAATATATGAAAATCATTCAATAGAAAAAAAAGTACTGCTATATTTTTCTTCGGTATCACAGAGGTCCAGTTTAGTTTCCGGTACTGGCTGATATAGATAGCTCCAGCAAACATCTGCAACAATGATTGTTGCCTTTGTTCTCTCTGAGTAGAGATGTCTTTCATGGCCATTCCTCACATAGGACTTCTCCCCACAATCTCAACCTAATAAGGTTTAGGCCCTAACTCCACCACAAAAGTTAGCTTAAGAGTGGAGGTTTGACCCTTACTTATATATTGGCCCAAATCCCTCTCATTTTCCAATGTGGGACACTTATCAATACCGCCCCCTTTAGACAGCGACGTCCACGGCGCTGGGGCAAATCTGGTCGCTGGCGGCTTCTCGGTCGATGGCGGCTTCTCGGTCCATCCCCGACCGTTCCTCTCCTGATCGTTCCTCTCCCGACCGTTCCTCTCCCGACCGTCCCACAACCACCGAGTCGACCGCATGTCCGCAAGAGAACGGCCCGTCAAAGGCCCACCGGAAAGTAGAGAACCAGGCTCTGATACCAATTAATAAGGTTTAGGCCCTAACTCCACCACAAAAGCTAGCTTAAGAGTGGAGGTTTGACCCTTACTTATATATTGGCCCAAATCCCTCTCATTTTCCAATGTGGGACACTTATCACAACCATTACCATGACATAGCTTCTGCTTCAACAGACAATGATGAACATGAAGACACTAGTTTCATGTTGCATATTTCTTTCAAGTGTCCGTTCAAAATATCCAATGCACGGTATATTCTGTCTCTTTGTTCATGTCTGGAGTCTTTGGCAATGAATTCATGAACCTGGTTGTCAACCTGAATTGAGCTGCAACCTGGAACCTTTTCCAAACCATGCTGTCGCATTGAGACACGATGGGTGGAAGAATGCTCCCACTTCCCAACAGAAGCACTGAGATTAGAAATCAACGTCAAGTAGCCTGGATTTGACGGCTCCTGATCAAGAATCTTTCTGGTAACGTCTTCTAATAACTTAGCATTTCCATGAATCTTGCAAGCACTAAGCAGTGTGGCCCAAATCACAGCATTTGGCGTCAGATGCATGCTTTCAATGAGTTGTACAGCTTCTTCTAGCTTGCTTGCTCGACCAAGAAGATCAATCATGCAACCATAATGCTCGATACGGGGCTGGATTTGGTATTGTGTGACCATACAGTCAAATACCCTGTTACCCTCTTCTACTAACCCCCCATGTGTGCAAGCCGAAAGAACTGAAATGAAAATAACATCATCAGGTTTAACTCCCTCTTGGCACATCCTGTCAAAGAGATCAATAGCTTCTTTACAACATCCATTAATAGCTAGACCCGAAACCATTGCTGTCCATGTAATAATACATCTCCGATGACCCATGCTGTCAAAGACTGCTTTTGCACCATCCACATCTCCACACTTTGCAAACATGTCGATCAAAGTATTGCCTAACGAAGTTGATAATTCAATACTGTTCTTCCTGATATAAGAATCTATCCACTTCCCATGTCCAAGAGAACCGAGATGAGAACATGCTGATAGTACACTGATCAGTGTCGTTTGATCGGGCCTACACTTGCCGTCGATCAACATTCTGCGAAATAATTCAAGGGCTTGATCAAACATGCGGTTATGAACATAACCCGTGATCATAGCGTTCCACGATACAATATTTTTCACAGGCATTTGATGGAAAATTCTACTGGCTGACTCGAGATCTTGTGCCAAACTATATCCTGTTACTAGAAGTGTCCAAGAGACTACAGTTTTCTCTGGCATACGGTCCAAAATTGATCGTGCAGCCTTCATATCACCCGACCTTATGAATCCAGAAATCATAGAGTTCCATGAAACATCATTCCTCACTGGCATTCTCTCGAAGATTGAGAGAGCCAACTTCATATTTCCGGCTTTACACAACCCCGAAATTAAGGAGTTCCACGTTACGGTATTCCTCTCGGGCATACTCTCGAACAATCCAATCGCAGATTCAATGTCACCTTGCCCCATATAAACACCAATCATGGAATTCCACGAAACTATGTCTCTCTCGGGCATTTCATCGAACACCTGTCGAGCAAAATCCAACCTTCCCCAACATTTAACGTAGAAATCCAAAAGGGTATTCTGCACAAACACACTAGAACCTAAACCCAGCTTCAGAATCTCTCCATGTATCGCCATACCATCTCTCGTGCCTTCAAATGATCCAAAGCACCTCAAAAGAAACGTGAATGTAAAGCTATTAGGCATTACCTTTAAATCCTTCATTCGATTATAAACCCTAATACCACCACCACCATTGTTTTTTCCCACGAAGCACTTGATCATAGTATTACAGGCGACAACTGTCGGATTCTTCGCAGCCCAGAAAGCGCTAACGGTATATTGAAGCGAACAGAGCTCAGCGGAGAGAGAGAGAAGCTTCGGAAGTATAAAGGCTCCATATTGTAAGCCATGGACGAGAATATGAGCATGAATTTGCTTCAATTGGAACACTCTTCCACATCTCCCCAATAATCTCAGCAGTTCGTTTTCCATGGAGTTTCCCGGCACAGAGATATTTGAAAAAGAGGATTTTTATCCTCCTTCGACGAAATGGCATTCCGGTTATTCTATAGACAACTAGGGGTTTTTTTAACCTTGAAACCAACCAAAATAAACCGGAGATCCGATTTGGTTATTTTCGGTACCATACTAAACCGTGTATACCGAGGAGAGGAGCCATGAGAGAGAGAGATCCCCAAACGTAAAAGACAATATTACACCCCAACTCGTAAGAAATCACGAAACTACCCTTGAACCAAGTACATCATTATGTATTTGGATCCCAAACGCAATTTTGGAATGTGGAATCTAAAATGCATGTATTGAAATCATATCGCCAGCTCAATTATTCGAAACTATAGTAAAAGGCCACACTATACATATATGACATCTTATTTTCATATAATTGATACACTTTCAGATTAATTTATACCAATGTTTAGTAGACACAAATTTGACTATTAAAATTGGCGATTTTCCAAATTGATTTTCTAAAACATAAATGTTAAAAAAGGATAAAAAATTATAATATATATAGAGAGGGAGAGACGGATCTAATAGAATTAGAGTCATTTATAGGAGTGTCAATTTAGACCCGAAAGCCGAAGTCTGACCTCGTCCAATCCAAAAAATAGAGAATTTCGCATCTAAGTTTTTCGATCCGAAAAAAATCAGACTTTTGGGGTGGATTCAAATCGGATTTTGGATTCGATTCGGTCCGGTCCGACCAGAGCCGAGACCGAAACTATATCAGGTTTTGGGTTTGGTTATATAGGTCCGAAAAAAATCGAGTCAACCCGACCCTGAATCTGAAATTCTGGGGTGGAGTGCGGGCTCAATCTGACCCGATCGACAATCCTAGTCATTTATTATCATCACTAAGAATAGTTATAACTGATTTTTGTTGTTGAAGAACGAGTGTGGAGTTAGGGTTTGTGTTTATATATACACACACATTAAATAGAGATATATTCGAGGTAAATAAGAAGAGTTCTAATCCTTATGGAATAATTAGAATAACCAATTACCTATAAACGATAATATAATATAATATATATATATATATATATACACATATAGATATATGTCGGTAGGTTAATTAATATGATCCTAAACAGATTGATAAAACATATATAATGTGTGTGTGTATATATATATATCACAATTTAATTTGACTTTTTTTTTTGTTTATAATTAGTTTGATCACACAATCTTTCATGAAATACTTAAACAAGTAACTAAATCAATTTTAATTGCAAGTAGTTTGATCATAGTTTGTCATGAATTTCTCTTATTTTTTATTTTTGATATTCGTCTTTATAGACTTTTTTATTTTTTGGTATTTAATAAGTCACTTTCCAAACACGAGAAATTGTGTTTATATAGAGGAAAGATTGTGTTTGTGTTTGTTTAAGGATCTCAATTTCACGAAAGATCAAACTAATTATTAATAAAAAAAAATTGAAATTAAATCTTGTGATATATATATATAATCCTATCCTCTATAAAAAAAATCGGTGATTCTAATCTCATTAGGATTAGAATTCTTATTTACCCTGAATTTCTCTCTCTACCTTTCTCTCTATATATATATCAAAGAACACAAACCCTAGCAACCCCACACCCGTTAAAATCTTCACACAAAAAAATCAAATCCTCAAAAAAAAAAAAAAAGAATGGGATCATCGTTCAAAACCACCATCATCATTGTCATTCTCGTTTTGGCGGTGGTAACAGTGATTACACCTATAATACTCTCCGCTGGTGGCCGGATGGACGCCGAGATCTTCGAGAAGTGGATGACTAAGCACGGAAGGATCTATCCAAACGACACGGAAAAGCAGTATCGTTTCGGCATCTTCAAGAACACACTCCGTTCCATCGAAGAACACAACGCCCAATACCCCGCCACGACTTTCGGTTTGAACAACTTCTCCGACTGCACCAACGACGAAGTCCCTGCAGGAGAACTCTCCGACGAGATCGGTTGCGTTTGGAAATTCCGCTGTGGCTTTCGCTGTCGATCCTTCATTTTAGGGTTTGGAGTTTTTAATTACGGACGACTCAAAACCGTTCGGTTTTTTTCTCGGGTTTTTCCCGGGTTCGGGTTCGATTCGTTTTTTAAAAACTACGGACATCGAATATTTGAAAAGCGATTTTCGTTTCCGATTCGGTTTTTTTCGTGGTTTTCGTACGACATCAGATTTGTGTTCTATTGGGCTAAAGAAATCTATGAAGAAGGGGACATTAGACCTAGACCGGGTGAGATTGAGGTAGAGTTTAAGGTTATCAAATCCGGTTCCATTTGGTTTTGGATAACCGATTCAGATTGTCGGTTCGTTTCACCGATTTAACAAGGTGTTAATTCCGTGTTGAGATCATTCCGTTTTTTTCTTTGTAATACTTTTCATGGAATTAAATCTATATATTTTGTGACTTTTAAAATGTGAGATTGATAATCTCTTTATTAATTTTGTTCAGGCGAATTTGTGTTTATATTCTATTTGCCTATCAATTTTGAACATTTTTTATAATTATTTGTTACATTCACCGTTGCATGTACTTCAATTGTATTCTAATTCCACGCATATACAAAACAGTCTGAGATTATGATCATAGACCATTATAAATTTGGTAATGTCTAATTAATTATCATTTAGTTTTAGATAAAACAATGACTTGATTCTAGATATTGCTCCCCCACCTTTAAAAAAAAGGCGAATAGTCATTTAATCTGATAGAATAGTTGTAATTCTAGACTTTTTCTCCTCGAGTATATATATATATATATATATATATATATATATATAAATAAAATTCCTAAATGTCTCGAGTAAATTTAAAATCTTTTTTGGGTCCATGTTGGTGAGAGATATTGGTGAGAAATATATATATATTTTGTTAACCAAGAGGTTCAGCCGGGCCTTCGGCCCAACCTACATCCCTCAGACCCGGGAGCAGTCTTTAGAGGCCCGGATATATATATATATATATATATGTTTGCATGTATAAAAATTGTTTAGAGGGGTAAAGAGGGCACGCATCGTATGCAAGCAAAATTTCAAGCACACACATAAGAGATGACATAACAGATTTGTTGATCTTCACGAATAGTTCATTACCCTCGATCCATATTTTCTAACAAACGGAGCCCTAGAATTGGAGCCGACATCTCATGTTCCTGACTTTTGCATATATATGCTGTGATTGGCCCAAATCCCTCTCATTTTC